TCCATGTCCGCCGGCGGGGCTGTAATGTGAGTCCGGGACGCTGCGCTTGTTGTTGCTGTTCAGGACGGTGGTGGTTACCGACGAGGCCACGGAGCCGGCGGGACTGGGGTGGGAGACGGCATCGGGGGCCATATGAGAAGTCGGACACGGAGCCGGTGCAAGCAAGCACAGGTGGGTCCCCCGGGAATAGTAAGCCGCGTCCGAAAGGGAGGGGGTTCACCCTGCGGTACCCGTACCCGTAGCCTACTCAGGTCAAGCTCCGCTCTCGGTCAGGGAGCCGGTCTTGGCCGTGATCGCGCGACGGCGGCGGCGGCCGTGAGGCATAGAGGACTTATCCCGCAGTTGTGGAGTCCAGAGCAGGAAAATAAATGCGGCGATTGGTACGGGGGTCAATGGGTTGAACACCGCCGTGTTGGGCGGTATGGTTGCTTAACAAAAGAAAGAAAATTCGGGGCCCCTGGATGCCTTCTTCCTGGCTTTTTTGCGGCTCCCTTGTTCTGGTGGCCGCCGCAGGAAACCAAACAAAACACCACACTCAAACAGACAGGCCCTGGAGCCGGCGGTGCGGGTGCAGCGCAGCGGAGCAGTGGGCAGCAGGAACGGAACGAAACGAATAGAAAATCTTGGTCAAGGTGCGACGAGGGGGTGGGAAAATGTGGTAAGGTATGATCTGAGGGGCGGGTTTTCCGGGGGGGTTCGCTAGCTGGCTTGCTGTGCTCTCTCACTCACTCAACTCACTCTCAGCTCAGCTGCACATCAACTCGCTTGCTTGCTTGCTTGGGAGCCTTGGGTTGAGCGCAGCAGCAGCGCGACGGACGGGAACAGGCGAATGGAATGGGGTGATAATGAATCATTCAGAAACCGAGGGACGGCGACGGAAGGCCAAGATCCCGAGTCATGGCCCAGCTCGGTAAACGGTGCTGATTTGCGCTAGCCTCGGGCATTTCTCGCGTTACTGCAAAATGCGGACAAGGGTTGGTGGGCTTGCGGATCTTTGAAGGAGAGAAGGGCCTTCCTTCTTTCTCAACTCTTGGGCACTCCGGATGCAGCTGGCCAAATGTTTAAACAAATTCAATTTTTTTGGTTTCTAATCTTTCCGCTCTCTTCTAGCTTTCCCCCTCCACCCTCGTGATTCCCAGACATCAGCTAAAAATTCGAGGGCGGGGGAGACGAAAACTCAAAAAAGATGGTTTGGGTTAGAGTTTGTACAGACAGAGCATAGCTAGGCAGCTGGAACAACGCGACCTTCCTTAGCAGTACCAACAACAGCTTGTGTGTGCTTCGCAGTCGTACAAGCGGCATCAGCTCGACGCCCATAGCGCGAAAACGACACACACACAGCTGCAGAACGTGCCAGGAACTTGCCGGTTCATGCGGTTTGTTCGCTGTCAGGACCGGACTGACTGACTTGTCCGTTTCCTCGTTTTCGCGGGAAAGGGAAACAGGCGGTCAAGACTCGACAGCGCAAGATGGAGCAAGAAAGGGGGAAGTCTCAAGAGAGCATTATGCACAGACTTTCATCTGAATTGTGCAGGTTAAGACCAGCTTTATGCAAACATCTTCGACGCTCATCTAGAAAGAAAATCAAGTCAGAGACATCTGAGAGGGTGGTGGCGTCGGGATGGAATCTCCGTCATAGGGCGCGGGCCCGTCCTATCACAAGCTTCTCCTCGTAGCAGTGTCTCACATTTGACTGACCCTGAACAAAGGAGCACGGGAAGCCAAAGGAAAAACCATTGTTATTTTAGACCAGCAGCCTTAAATGCTAATCCGCCGAGCGTTCGAGCCAAAGCCAGCCCCCGCCAACCTGGGTATCCATTCAAAGCCAAAAAGCCATTATCGTTATCGTCAAACATCGTCATCTTACTCCAGACTCCCTCCACCCAAAAACACCAGAAACACACGGCACGACATCATCATGCCTTGACCGCTTCCACGAAGAGCTCCCGCATGCCCTTCAGCAGCACCGCGAGCTCTCTCGTCTCGTTGAGCTGGTCCAGCACCTTCTCCACGCGCTCGCGCTCCAGCTTGGGCCTGCAGTGCCGGATATCGTAGTCCCTGCTCGACGTCGAGAGCTCGAACCACGCCTCCCTGTCCCAGTCCTCGCTGTCAATGTAGCTGTAGATGAACTTGAGCCGGTCGTCCTGGCCCGCGCCCTCTATCCGCAGGCCGAGGTTCTGCTGCCAAAACTCGAGCTCCGGGACGTTGAACCGCGACTGCGCCTCCAGCTGCGCGGCGTGCGCGCGCTGCGCCGCGACCTTCGCGTCGATCTCCTTCTGCGTCTCCTCGATCTGCTTCTTCAGCGCGTCTCGTGTTGCCAGGTGCTTGTCGCGCTCCTCCGACAGCTGGGCGATGGCGGCCTGCATCTCGCGCGTCTCGGCCTTCTCCTTCTGGACGGTTTGTTGGTGTGTGCTCGTCTTGTGCTGGAGGATCTCAATGTCCTTCTTCTTCATGCGTTGGTCCTCTGTGATACGGTCAGTCAGCATCGTTTGGGCATCGATACTGCGGGAATGCTGGCGCGACCCGACGTACCTTGAAGTTCGGCAATATTCATGCGAAACTCATTCCTCTCCTCCAACACGCGCTTGCGCCCTTGCTCGATAAACCCGTCGAATCGTGAAGAGAATTTGTTCATGCGGTCGCGCAGCTCGTCGAAGCCGAAGTTCGCATTCGGGAGGGTGTCGGCGACCGATGGGGTTGCCATCAGGGACTGGCGGTTGATGCTCGCGGAGAGCGAAGATTCGAATGCCGACGACATCGTCGCTGAGATATAGTGCTATGCTGAGCAAATCGTAAAATCGTTTCGAAGCGACGTGAGGATAGACTGGCAGCCTTCTACAATCGCAATCGCATGTGACGGAAGAATGGGGTTAGGTGGGCTTGGGAAGCGGTAGGATATTTTTGGCGTTTATGTCACGCGTTGCTATGTCAACAATCTGGCAGGTGCCAGAAGGGCTGCTGACTAACACTCTTGCTGACTTATCCACCCAGCCCCTGAACAGTTCAATCGCCTCCTTGGATAACATCTTCCGGCAGGATGCTGTTGATGCAGCTTCTTGGAATGATCGAATGGCCTACTTGTTGCTGATTGATGTCCCAATCCGGCTCGTTCCCTGACTGAAGCTAAGGGGGTTTTGCTTGGGAGTGAGTACGGGACTCAAGTCCGGGACCGGCCCCGCTTTCGGCTTCCCAAGCCGGACTTCTTGAACCCATCGTGATAAACATGCTCTAATGTCAAACATTCAGAGGCGTCGATTGTTTGGGATCAGGCAAAATTTTGAGGGAGGGAAACTGCTTCTTCCAGGCTATTTCTGCTCCTCCTTTGAGCTCACTCGGTCAGAGAAGGCTTTGTATCTCTCCAAGCTTTCCTTGGGCCAGTATTCTTCCATGGGCCCGTACTCCTCAAACACCACATCCCCCTCCGGAATGCCAAACCACCTGTGCCTCTTACTTCCACCTCCAGCAAATATATGCGCATGCGGCCTCAATCCTCTCGAAGGAACGTATCTCTCCCCGTCCACAAGCCCATCAATCGTTCCCACCCGCACAATCTTCAGCAGACTCCTCGTCGTTCCCGAGTAATGACTCCACACCACCGTAAAGCACTCCGGACACCGCACCATAACCTGCCCCTCTGGCCCCGACGTCGCGGTCGGGATGCCTTTTCGCAGGAGCCGCGCCTCGGCCTCTTCGCCACTTTCGCCGGTCGATAGCGTCGTGTGCACGCGGTCCGGCTCGTACAGCGCGTTCAGCGCGAAAGAGGTGCCCGTCTCCCGCTGACAGTACGTGCAGTGGCATGCGTGGACGATGATCGGGGATGAGGAGAGGGTGTATCGTACGTGGGAGCAGGCGCAACGGCCGGTCAGAGGGCTCTCGCTCGTGGGGCTGTCATTTGGGCTCCTGATATACGGTCAATTGAGGAAAATATCCCGGCGGGAGCAAGAGCGGTACTCACCCCATGGCTGGACTTTCGAAGAGGTTTCAAGGTAACTATGTTTTGCGAATTGAAAATTGAAAGTAGTTGAAATAAGTAGCCGTTTTCCTTGCAGGCGAGCATGCAAACCGAGATGCATATTGCGTCATACCTATCCGTGGGGAAACACAACAGCAGCTTCAGCAAGGGTGCTTTTAAACTGATGTTTGCTCTCCTTACATAAAGCCAGTCTGCTCGACCTCTTCTTCGACTTGCAGACAATGCTATAAGAACCAGGTTCATGATCAAAGAAGACATGGAGCAAGACAACACCCAGATCACGCAGGCATGAAAAGGCTCATAATGATGAACCTGAGTAAAGATAAGAAATCTTTAGATCAAGCACTCACAGTAATTCTTTCACGCAGCGTAGAATACCCTCTCTCTTTGGGTTCGCTTAAGCTTCCCATGTCTAGGTTACCAAGACCAACGTGGAGTCTTCTGTCATTATCATAGCCACTTTGGCAATCATCTAGATAGGTTTCTCTCATTTTCATACTGGAGCCAACAAATGAAATAACGTTTGATATCTCCATCTTTCTAAACAGCCAGACCACGCGAGGGCGGTACAGTAGCTTTCAAGATGATTGAGAACAATGCGTTCGCTCTTCAGGGACATACGTCAGACACCCTGTCATTTGTATACTTGCTGTGAGAGACTACCGCACCAGATTGCGGGACTGTGAATAAATCTCAAGTCGATACCTCACAGCCTGAATCACTACCAAGCCCCCAGCCCCGTATAAGAAGGAAAACTCTTTCCCATCGCTGGAGCGACTTTGTTTACGTGCTTTCAACGATAACTGAGGTAGATAAAGCAGTTACTCTTTTGAAAACCCATCCATTATCGTCGAGGTCTCCAAAAGCATTTCCCAAGGGCCTTGTATATCGAGATAGCCTCAGATCAAGCATCAATCATCACCACAGCTCCCACATCAAAGCAATCCCACACCAATCTTAGGTATTATCGTCTTCTTTCCCCTCCACAGAGGAGTGCTTCACTAACAAAACCGAAATGCAGGTCAACATGGCCGAACCCCACATCATCCTCGAAACCCACCTCTACTCCCTGCCCCCCAACGGCGCTCCCCCTTGGATCAGGAGCTTCCACCTCCGCCTCTGCCCGACCGCCGCCACCAAGGCCGACATCCTCACCCTCGTCCGCAACTCCGTCGTCCGCATAGGCCGCGCCGACCCAGTCGTGGAAGCGCAGGTGACGCTCTTCTTCACGCGCAACGGCCACGTCGCGTCCCTCCCCGGAGCCAGCAACCTCGGCACCAACACCGTCGCCGTCCCGATCTACCAGCCTCCTCAGCTGATCAACTACTCCGTGCCCTGCTTCACGCAGCAGCAGCAGATGGGCGCTCCCGGCTGGCCTCTTGCTCTCACCTACGCTAACGGCGTCAACTGGCTGCATTCATACGGCCCCGGAGGTATGATGGGTATGGGAGGTGGACAGCAGCAGCAGCAGATCATTGTCGGCGGTCAGATTGGCTTTATCAACGTCAATGTTCCAACTGTCAATGTATCTGGTGGCCGTCCGGTTGTGTCTGACGTCGTCAGGGAGGCTCGGCTCGATGGAATCGCGGAGGCAGCTTTGGGTGGAATGTTGGAGTGGGTTGGAGGACCGAATGGTCTGAAGCTGATTGTCATCGTGGATGTAGACGGACGGGATGTTCTTCCTGCGGTTATCACCCTGCCGGAGGCACCTGCTGTGGCCACGCCTCCGGCAGCTCCCGCTACTTCGCCTCCTGTTGCAGAAGATGCCCCCGCCGAGCCTGCGGCCGAGTAAACACTTTGATGGTTGCGGTTTGGAAGAAAGACATTGGCTGTCGAAGTTAACTAGCTAGGGTATTAGCTAGGTTAGAAGATTGAAGCACGCTGTTTTCGAAGAGATTATTTAAGATAAACTATAGCTTAAAGACGCTCGGTAATCCCCGTGACAGCCTCTGTGAGGCAACCATCCGCCCAGATGTACTCGGCTTGCACCGAGTATAAATGTTGAACTCGGCCCCTCATCTGGCTGCTTCAAATGTTCTAGTCGTTCTTCTATTAGCACTAGCTGTACAAAAGCTGAGTAGAGCTAGATGTTATGCTGCTGAGACCACATACCACACCTGCTACCTGTCACTTCCGTTGTGTGATTGCATCTCAAGTATTCTGAGATTATTATCATCAGGAGCGAGGAATATTCGGCGGAAAGTGCTGGGAGGGGGCTATGAAACGACATCTCGGCGCGCCCTCTCCAGCTGTCCCAGAAGATCTAAAACCCACACTTCGAACTCGTAGGAGATCCTTTTTTTTGAGATGTCCTCTTACCAAGAGACAAGACTTGTTCCACAAAAGACTCATCTTTTCATGCCTGCGAAGCATCGTATTGAGGAAGTTTCGCGCTCGTCCAGTAGGTCTGGGAAGCATTATATAATGTGAAAGCCACCTACCGCCCATAAGATTCAAGATTTGTGTCATAGCGGAATCAGCCTGTCCAAGGCCCCCGTGGGACATCTCTTCCATGGCGAAGAAGAATTTTACCGACACGTATAAAACCTTCAGATCGCAGCGAACCCAGACGAGATGGCCCAACAATCTAACCGGCTCGAAATCTTCTGATTGAGCTCCAGAGTCGCTGGATGGACATAGGCAGTGCATCGCCAACGCATCCTGGGTTCTTGCTGACGGGTTTTCTCGAGCAGTACCCTTGATCGCAAGCAGAATACATCGCAGACCGTAGAGACAAATAGAAGTGAGTGAGAACACAGGGAATTCCAGCATTTCGACATGTGTGTGGTACGTCAAGACCACATCAAGTATGAAGGCTAGGCAAGGTACAATGGCGAACGAACGATCCTACTCCACATCCACTATTATCAGCAATTGATTGGTCTGTTGTAAAATCCTAAAAGACTGGTCATTGTTTCATTAAATACCTTCTCTCCTGTGTCAGCCTTATTGCTCCTAAGCTGCATGAAGAACATACAACCTGAGGCATGGTGTGTTCTTGTGTACTGGACCGCAATAGAGAGTGTCGGTCACGCTGTTTACACGTCTGATTCGTCGAGACCTGTCCGTCTTACACGTATGCCCACGATCTCAGCAAATCGGGAACAAGAAAGTGCGCAATTGCCCGTCAATCGTCGTCGTCGGTCATCACTTTGGTATCAATATGGCGATTATCATGCTTCTGCCAACCGTTGTCCCCATGATGAAGCCAGCTACCCATTGTTACATGCGATGACAGAAGGTCCTTGCAGCTGACTCCAGCTAAGACTCTATTCGTTCGTAAAGAGGGTCCAGTTATGCCCCATTGCTGGTGTTCTCGGAAGTTGGTGGACTTTTACTACCTTAGCTTTAATACTATCCGCCGCATCATGAACCCTGCCACGCATAAAACGACACCAATCAACTCTATGAGCTCCTCCCTTTCCATTATGACGGGTGGAATCTACATATACAAGACTTACAATCAAAGAGAACATTTTTCATACAAAATCGGCCGCTCGCACCAGAGCCTGGCGATCCATACATGGAAGACTGAACATGCGCACCCTGGAAAGTCCCAAAACGGTTCACCACCGCAGTTCACCACCGCACAAAGTGTTCTGTCGTGCTAAAGTGATTGCTGAGGCAACAAACTTGAATAACAGATGGTGTACACTGAGAGTCGCAGAGACCGACGGCAATGAAAGAGAACGCTGCCAATACTAGCATCTTGAAGTGTTGTTTGCGGGACATCGGGATCACCCGAATCGCTCCGCATTACCCGCGCGGACGTTCGAAACTGATTTGTCTGTGGGGTGATTCCATACGCGGAGGACCTATCAGCTACTGTATAATGCCTTTCTTTTAGGTTTAACCTATCTCTACTGCGCTACTAAAACGACGTAAGCGACACAGGTGTCTTTACTTCTATCAAGCCACAACACAATATTATGGTCTTCGCGTCATTTAAATCCATCTATTACCTCTCTCACACGTATTACAGCGCCTTCCCTGACCTAATATAAAGAAAGGCGCAATCCCTAAGTCTATTGCCTTCCCTCATTGCTTGCGTATTCGATAACAGCAGATAGAATACTCGATCGACACTCGTTTCGAGAATGCAACTCGCTACCCCTGAAATGTAGTGAAGAACGAACTTGCGCTTGTCTTAGTTTTAGAAGCAACCTACATGGCGATGGTACACGCCATTTACCAATTCTACTATTCTTAAGATCACATATAGATTCAAACGCCCTTTTATACTGCTCCACATCATGACCACTTCCTTAGTACTGCCCACCATCACCACACACATCTGAAGCGCTCAACCGTGCGGACTGCCCGAGACAGTTTTGTAATATAAAAGCTTTCTCAGTGTGACAAATTTCGTTTCGTTTCTCCACGATTGTGATTGCTCTGACCTTGTTGTCCTAAAGAGCGTGGCAGCCTAACTCCATGGATGGACATTAGCACTGACTATGCAACAATCACTCAACAGTCAGGATAGTCTACGTTTCCTTTACATGCTTAATTCGTCTTCATTTCTGTCATAATGGATCTACTCCCTCTGGTATCAAAGTCCGCCAACAGAAAACAGACATGTCAGCTAGTCGCATTCGGAGTACACTCATCCCCACAAGCTGTGCTGGGATTCTGGCAGCGAAAATTGCCTACTGACAATTGACCCGGCCACACCACCTAGGCATCTTTGTGTTCTTGTCTCAAAACCTATTTGGGTTTCTTGCCAGAAATTTATAGCTGCAAATCCTCAGTCAACATGCGTCAGTCATCATCCGCTGACATTCCGTGAGAAGTACATAAATTGGCATTACTATCGTCAGACACAACCGCACCCACAAGAGAAATACCGTAAAACGTCTAATTTGGACTAATTCGAATTGAAATCTTATCGTGTTTTACCGTAGTCAGCCACTTCTCTCACTCAAAAAATACCACAAGGCGCATCATCTTGTTCACTCGTCCGTCACCCCCAGTCGCATCTTCGTATTCCGGCGGCGAGGAGCATATGCTCTTACTTCCTCCCCCGCAAGTGAGACGTCTTGTGAGAAACTTATCAGAGAGACATTGAAGTAAACTCTGTGCGGATAACACCATCGCTCGCAAGGATTGCGTTCTTCTTTCTCTCCTCTCCCTTTTGGGCTTCTCGCATACATACATAGTAAGACAATACGAAAGCCGGCCGGCCGGCCCTATGTTAGATGGCATATATAAATGCAGATCTCCCACCAACCAATGCCCCCGCGATCTGCAATGAATGCTATGCTGAGAAATTGAAGGCAGCAACGACCAACCTGAAGTCAACGCAATACTGCTCGTACACCAACCAGTCAGCCCACCTACCACTCCCGGAGCAGCATAGACAGCTTCACGAACAGTCTCTTCATGTGCACCCAGGAATACTCTCAGGATGCAAGAGATAGACAACACTAAACCGATCACACTTCATGAGAGACCCTACTGCGAGGATCCCACAACATGGACAGCTGATTTCAGTTGCTCCTGTGCGGAGCTAAGGATATACCATCTAGACCAAGATTCAAGCCTTGATGATTCTGCCGCTCAAAGAAAAAAGACAATCGCATCCCCATCTTTTAACCACCCTCTTCATGCTCCCAAGCACAATTTCAAACTGCCAACCCCCACTAGCATATATAAACATAATCTTGCTCCCGTATCCCTTCTCGACAAAACCAGCGGCAATACCGCAGAAGTTGGCGAGATTGAACCAATCGATCCGCTCTACACTGCTTTCTGTTCTAATACACCCAGATCCCCGGCGCAAAACCTACCCGAGGGGCTCCTAGCACAAAAACAACAACCCCATCCGCTCGCCTTCGTCCTTCATCACTTTCTCCAACCGAAAGGCCTTGCCTAATTTATCCGTGTCCTGCCATTATAATGCGATCTCTCCCAGTATTTATATCAGCAGATATTCCAATTCTTGAAGTACCAACCCATCTCTCGGCGTTGGAACTCCCCCCCTCAGAGAGCATCCTGCAAGCTGGAAGCCCACCCCCGCGAGCTTCCCTTATCCTTGAAGACGCCCCCAACTTACCAACCTTTCCAGGCAGATTCAACCGTCGGACCACTCATATCACCAAATCAGATTCACGCATCACCAAAGCGTATATAGACAATAACTAATCAAGTTTTCCTGTCAAAAATCTGGGTATGCATATTCCTTTCCGACAAGAGACTAGGTATTTGAGATAAGAACTTTGAAAAAAAAAACCAAAAAGACGAGAGAGGTACGCAGAGCAATAGCAAGAGTAAAGCACGTTTGAGAGACAATAGACAAGAGACACTGCGCCGACAAAACACCAAATCCCTCCGCCGCCCTTTGATAAAACTTCCGCCAGGAAATTCCACAAAACTTTCTTTTTTTTAGGAACCCATCATCTTTCCCTCCCCTTTCTCAAAACTAGTTCCTCGCCAAATACAACTATGAGACGTTTGGTAAGACTTATCGAGGTTTGGGCGGGAAACAAGGATCAACAGCTTCGCGACCTAAAGAGGTAGGGAAAATAAACATGAAACAGTGAGCCCGATCTGGACAATAGGTCGAGCATGATATCGTACAGGGGGAGTTTGATTTTGTGTGTGTGGAGGCACAAATCGGACAACATTAAATGTCACCTCGGATTAGCCTCTGCGCGTCTCGTTCGGGACGGGCGACAGCTTGCTGCCCTTGCTCCCTTCGACAACCACGAGTGCGCCGTTGACGTTATTAGACCTCCCAATGCGCTGCAGGCAATTGGTGACGTCTCATCTCGTGAACGAGCAGGAACTTGTCTGCCCCCCGAGATTGAGATCTGGCCATCGAACGAGAACGCGCGAGGACCTTTGGTCGGGTATGATCGCCAGCCAGCACCGAACGACCGATATGCTTGCCGAACACCCGCAATATGAACAGCCCTGAGAATCCCAGAGCCAAAAAGCCAAGCACTAGACGCCGCCATGCTGCATAATGATGACATAAGAAAGGCATTACTGAGCCTGGCTGTCCAGGCTCGTATTAGAGCAGAACCTTGATGACGACGTGAGCCTCAAGGTTACGCCGGGTTGCCCTTCAGCCTCTTTTGCATCCGCGGCGTGGGCGGCTTGCCCTTGTTCTGGACACCGTTCACCTGAGGGCCGCCGGGTGTAGGGGCGGAGGAACCATCCTCTTCCATCTTTACACCAGAGGGACGTCTTCGCTTGTTGGAAGCCGGAGATGTGTTCGCACTAGGTCCGCTGGAGCTGGTTCCCTGCTGGCTCTGCTGCATCTGCATGCCGGGTGCCTGCATATGGCCCGGAGCAGGGCTACCGGTGACATGAGGCGACCCAGGAAGCTGCATATGCGGCTGGGCTGGGCTCGCGCCCATTGGGAACTGCCCAAAGCTGGGTGTCCGCGGGCCCTGGCCGGGCATGGCCTGACCGTTCATATTTTGCGGCGCGGAATTGATCTGGCTGACGTACTGCTCGAGGGCGGCGTACGGGCCGAGGTTGTTGTGAGCATGGCAGTAGGAGAACAGAGGGTTCATTTGGCCGATCACTTCAGCAATCTGCACGTCATCATTAGTGTCGATGATCCGTATGCATGCACGGGTGAGCGACGCTTACCTCGAGGAATTGGAAGACAGCTTCCGTAACGCCCATGCCCCTCTTCACAGCCGATTCTGGCAGGTCCACTAGAGCGTCGGGAGGGGGGTGTTGCGGGGACTTCATCATCCTGGCCTTGCCCTTCTTGCTCATCTCCGGAGAGGCCTTGCTGTCTTGGGAGTTCACCTTGTGCCACTCCTTGACCCAGTTATGTACGGGCTTCGCAGCCTCAATGACGGCCTTGCGGGAGATGTATTCTTCGTGGCTGCTTGTCAAGAACTCGAAGAGTTCAATCTTCTGCTCCGCGTCGAAATGAGCTCGGACGGTACCGTTTGCGACAAGCTATCCGAATTAGTGATGGCAGCACAGAGAGACGAAGCCAGACTTACGTGAGAGCCGTTGTCGAACCAGTAAACTAGACTCGACTTGGTGTTCTCAATCCAGTGGCCATCCCCGGGCAGCGGTCGATCCGTGGTGCCCTTCTCCATGATCAATTGCATGTTCTTGATCCCACTGTCGAAGTGCGTGTGGAAGTATCGTGGAAGCGCGGGGTATGTGATTTCGTATTGCTTGTCGGCTTGATCTTCGATGTCGGTGATGTGGACAGAGTGACGGAAGACACCCTTGGTAGAGAAGAATTGGCTCACGAACATGTTCCAGTACGTGAGGTCGTCCTTGCCCTTGGATCCCTAAAAGTCAGTCAGCACGATGCCTGCGGTAGCTTCCAAATGCGACGTACAGTAAAACCGCTCAAGTGTTCGCTGAACTGCATGAGCTTCAGCAAGCAATGTCCCTTCATTCCTTCCCTCCTTTGCTGCTGGGCCTGCTGCTGTGCGAGAGCCATGCTGTTGGCCATGGCGGCCTGAGCGGCAGCGGCCTGCTGTGGGTTCACCTGAGGTTGTCCAGGCTGAGGTTGCATTTGAGGGGGGCCTTGCGGTTGAGCCTGAGTCTGGGGAGGCTGCGGCTGTTGATTCGGTTGTGGACCTGGTGTTTGCGACGGAGTGGGTTGACCAGCAGATTGCGGGTTGACGGGCTGCGCGGGCTGCTGCTGCGGTGTCTGTTGAGGGGTTTGCTGGGGCTGAGGTTGCGGCTGCTGGGGTTGGCCTGGAGGTTGTTGACCCTGTTGTTGTTGCTGCTGTTGCTGCTGCTGCTGCTGCTGAGCCTGCGCCTGTTGTTGTTGTTGTTGTTGTTGTTGTTGTTGTTGTTGTTGCTGCTGGGCCTGCTGCTGCTGCTGTTGCTGAGCTTGCTGTTGCGCTTGCATCGAGGCAGCCATCTGGGCCTGCTGCAGCTGCATGTGTTGAGGGTTCATCTGGACCGGCTGACCGGGCTGCTGGCCTTGTTGTATCTGCTGGTTCTGCTGCGCGACAGCCTGCTGCTGGAGAGCGATCTGCTGTGCCAACATCGCCTGGGCCTGGGGAGTATGCGCCTGCTGTAGATTTTTGTCAACATTCTGGTCATTCGCGCGGGCGCGCTATACATACCGGCCGCATGCCCTGCCTCATGGCCGCCATCTGGGCCGCCATCTGGGGGTTCATGGGCATGCCCATAGGCATGCCATTGACACCCATGTTCGCGTTGAAGGCTTGTTGAGCCATGAGCGCCTGCCTAGCCTGCTGCTGCTGCTGGAATAACCTCTGCTGCGCCATTTGGGTGGCATGCGCCATCGCGGCCGGGTTGTTGACTGTACGTCGAGGTCAGCGGGGGGAGGGACATAGGACGAAGGGGGACGAGGAGAGTTGTCAAACATACAATTCTGGGCGAACTGGTTCTGCTGGAACATTGGGTTCTGGGGGTTGAGGTGCTGCAAAGCGTGAGCGTTCGGACCACCAGCACCCGGCGGCATGCCGCCCATCAACTGGTTTGGATTGACCTGACCACCAGGCCCTGATACCGCCATGTGCATCTGGTGAGGCATTCCACCGCCCGGCGGGCCTTGCTGATTTGGGTTGTGAGGCATACCCGGGCCCATGGGATGGCCTGGTACGCCTGGATGTTGTTGCATGCCGGCAGGATGACCTGCAAAAGATGGTCCCATACTCGTCATCATGTCTTCAGCGTGTCGATAATCCACGGCGTGGATATCGACGTCTCTTCCCTCCGCACTATCTCATGCGCCTGCAGAAAACACCCAAACGTGGCTCTCGTCTCGAATAGAAATGGGCAATCGGCGGCCGCGAAGCAAAGCAAACACGAGGGCGTTGCGGGCGTGGTGGGATGCGAGCGTGGGAGTTTGGGTTGCGATGGCGCGACGCGAAGAAGCGATGGGGGCAGCTGGCGTTCGGGATTTACGAGACGCGGGAGAGTGGTCTCTCAATCGCGCGGATGCGGGTTGCGTGGGCTGGCGGGTTTCGACTAGCGTTATCGGGGTTTGCGATAGGAGAGCAAGTCGTTTTTTGCCCGTCGTGATGGTGCAAGTTTTGGGCGGCCGGGTCAACAGGCGAAAGGGGACCGAGAAGGCATCGATGATCGACGTGGCGGACGGAGGACGGAGGACGGGGGCGGGAAGAAGGATAATTTGGGTAGGGAAGTTGGTCGGGGATGCGACGACAAACAAAAGAGCTGGATGGGAAAGGGTTCGGGGAGTGGGTGGGTGCGACTAAGGCAGCCCGATGACGGGGGAGAAGGGTGCTGGGCCTGGGACTGGGAAGCCTGCGGGAGGAAGAGAGAGAGAGGGAATAGTAGGTGTGCGTGTGTGCGAAAGTGGAAGAGCCTGAGCTGCTGGAGCGAGAGAGACAGAGAGGTAGGCAGCGAGACAGACTGACGGGCGACGAGCGAGTCGGGGGGTCGGAAAAAAAGCGTGGCGTGGCGACGGAGAAGGTAAAATGGAGTTGTTGGTTTATCGCAAAGGTAAAGGTTTCTGGGGCCCGTACAGGCAGAGCAGATGCAGTAGAAAGAGAGTGTGCGAGAGTCAGAGATACGACGACGTGGTGTCGAAGGGTCGCGAGATAGCGGGAGCGAGGTGAGGCGAAGCGAGCGGACAGACTCAGTGGGTTGAGAGGTCTCGTGAGAGAGTGGGTGGACGGAAAAAGACGACGAGGCCCAGAGCCTTTTTCTTTTTCCTTCAGCACGCAGGCGCAAACGTAGTCGACGACGACATTCGCAGCAGCGGCGAGTTTATGTTGTAAGGTATCCAACAAGCCCGATTTTTATTGCACACGTCGAGAGACCGGGAAACAGCGAGAGATGAGCACTGCAATGTGCTGCGCTGGCGAGCAGGAACAAGCCTTTTTTTTTTTTTTTTTCGCGCGTCGCCTTACCAGGAAGACGGGAGAGTGAGCGAGATGCGGTACAGGTCCAGAGGTAAGGTACTAGCTAGCTGGACCTGATGAATTGCGGATTTTGGGGGGTTGAGTGGGTTGGGCTGGGTAGCGTGGTAAGGTTGGCAGCAGCGTGGCAGCGTATCCGTAGCGCGTGCGGTGCCAGCGCGCTGGGGTCGGCTGGCTGTCCGTCTGTCGCTGTCTGTCTGGCTAGGTAGCCGGTGGGCTGAAGAAGGGACGCAAGGACTCAAAGTGGGCTGCCCGAGCTTCTTTTCCCCTTGTCCACGTCCTTCTTGCTCAGCGGGCAGACAGCGAAACCGAAAGTCCTATTCCTTCCGTTCGTCTTTTGGGTGGGTGTCGTGTAAAGCTAACGTGGTCCTCTTGTGTCTAAAACGCAACACGGGACGAAGTTGACGTTCGGAACCCCGAAAGAACCAAATGAAGCCAAACACATCAAATAATCACAGACAGAAAAAATTTAAATTAAGGAATCAGACACTCGACCCAGGGGCGGTGATTGGAGGGGGCGCTCAACGTGGTGTTGCAGACAGGTCGCAGCGTCACAGAGAGCTCTCCCTACAACACCTGCTAGGAGACAGCAACAGCAGACGACAGAGAGCACAGCAGATGGTGGATGGCTGCTCGGGCTGGGGAAACAGGAACAGAGCTGGGACGGCAAGGAAGCGCGAGAGGTGGGCGGGCGGCCAGCATGCCAAACTGCCAATGCCAGACGCACCTCCCAGCCCGAACCCGCCCTTTGCCCTCTTTGGATGGGCAAAGCGGGTTTCTATTCCATTATAGCGGTACGCTACGCATCTATCGAGCACAGCATGCATGGATATGCCGGAATTAGGTGGCGGGAAGCTCCATTTAAACGCGGGAATATGCCTCTATCCACAACGGCCGGCGATCAGGCGGCTTATGCATCAAGAGCAAAGCAAGCTTTGTCTTTCTTCAGCGACCCGCGCGTCCCAAGGGGTTGAAGCATCTGTCGCAAAGCAGGAGGCAGGAGGTTCTGCCTTGCCATGGTCACCGACGGGGGCAGCAAGGCAAGGAGAGAAAAAAAATGCCTCCCATCCTCCCCGTTCATTAGATGACAAATGGCCCTCGCAGAACAGACCGCTGGAATCGCGTCGTCTTGCCCTATCCGTTTCTGCCTTTTGCGTCCCTCAATGGCAACCACGTGTTCCCCGAACCACCCGGACACACACCATTCGCACATTCTGTCTCTCGCTGTCTTCCCTCATCGAGTCCTCTCATCGTCTGGTGACATGAACCCAGAGAGGGGGCCGCGCGGGATCCAATCAGCTTACCTCATTTTGGGGGAAGCGGGGGATCCATTGAGTCCCCAGTCCCAGACATCGGCTCCTCGGCGCTAATCTCCGATCGAAATCACATGACCTTCGGTCTAAAGCTGATGGCTCACGCCGACCACGTGACACCCAATCTTTCCTTCCCCAAGCAGATTTCTAGACCAAAGGCCCGTGCCCCAGAAAAATTTCGACCGAGCCTGGCCCCACAATTCCCATCGTGAGCCGCATCTATAAAAACTCTTCCCTCGCATCACAGGCTTCGTTCCTTTCCCCATCATCCAACGCCATACTTCCTCTCCAACTCCAGCCCGGCCAGCGCAGGCCTCGATCGCTCACACCACCTGACAAAAGCTCAATGCAGAGCAGATCAGAGAGCGTTCGGGCTTCCTGCGCTGCGCCTCCTACTAACAGGTAAGCCACTAGCAAAATTTCCCTTCACACACATCCCCCCAAACTCCGAATGATGATATTATATCAACATGTCTTCTTTTCCCAACCGAATCGACCATGAAGAAGTCTAGTCTACTCGGGCACTCCGTCGCAGGAGAGCCTGTTACTTGCCAGTAATCACTATCTGACACTTTCACCTTCACCATCACTTTGCAGCAAAACTCGAATTTTGAGCATTCTCGCTGACAATGTGCAAAGAACAGGAAAATTTTGCTTTGCGATATTTCGAATGGCTCTTATTAGAACAAATAAAGATCATAGTTTTTCGCACCTCATCTCAGAATGCATTCGTGACCAATGTGCTTGACAGACCTTGCGAATGTGCCGTACCTTTGGAATTTCATGTTTTTTCCCCAAGGTGACAACCATCGTTTCTACGCTTCATAACAGAAGACAACCTCCGTACCTCCAACTTGGCGTCGCTGCAATACACCTTTCTTTCGTTCTGGATTCATGTTTGAGATCCAGATCTCTAAGATCCAGTATCGTCCATAAGCTCCAGGTGACATGGCATCGTGACTCGGAGTATCAAGACCTCAACGAGGTCGACGTCCTTATCGTCCATGCCACATGGTAGAGGACGTCCTTCACCTTTCACCTCTCACTTCACAATGGGGGACGTCCAGCCAGTGGACACCTTCCTAACCACGCACCATCTCACCTCACATCACATCACATCAAATATGCAAACCAAACAAGTCATTCACCTTGTGGAATATTCTCAAATTCATCTATGCCAACCATCCCCAACTGCCATGCATCCCAAAAGAAAACACTCCCAATGCCCACCCCGCAGAATCCCAAAAAACAAAAAAAGAGAGGCAAACACTCTTTCTTTTCGCGAGGTATATCCCCCGTAGCCATACACCGTGTGTTTTGTTTTTGCAACTTCCATCAAGAACGCCAAGCAGAACGAATGACAAGTAAGGCGCGCTGCAACCGCGCGCCCTCTGTGAACCACCCCAATAACCCACCAAGTCCGTTACCTCTCCTAAATCACGCGCAAACCTTCCCGTACAGACTCGGGGATATCCCGCCGCCTGCCTCCGACGATACCACGGCGGTTCCTACCCGTCCGCCCCCTGCCGAGCCAGTTGAGCTTGAGCAGCCGGCAGAGCTCCTCCATCCGCCTGTTCCCCTCGTCGTTGCCGTCTCCCGCGACGTCCCCGAGGCTGGCGAGAATGCTCATGCATTGCAGCATGCGACCGACCATCTCCGTGACCTGTTTCGAGTCCTCGACGTTCTGCTCACGGGTAAAGGGCCGGAGTTGCCCATCGCTACCAGCACTGGCGTAGCTGACGTTGCTGAGACCACGACTGCGTCCGCCAGCCCCGGAGCTTGCATCGCCGAGTAGGGTCGTCGCGTTGGAGTTGTAGCTTGCCACAGACGGGTCAAGACTCATTGCGGTCCCCGGGCGCATCATGCTCATGGTGTCGGCGGGGCTGGACGAGAGCGCAGGATCCGGGAGGGGAGAAGCGAGTGCCATTGAGGCAAATGACGAAGGCAGGAATTCGAGTGAGAGGCGGGAGAATATTGTCTTGAGTGATTCGTACCGGGGGAGGATGACAATGTCGCGGTATGCGGTCAGGACGATGCGGCGAACGTCAAAGACGGCCGAGGCCGGTCTTACATGCGGTGCATCGGTAGACATCGGAGCCGCCTTGACGCCGCCCCAAAAGTCGCGGGCCTGGTCCGGGTTCATGAGGACACCGCAGCCGGAGAATTCGAGATCCAAAGGGAGGAAAACGGCCTGCATGTATGGCAAAATCGAGGTGTAGGTGATGAGCCACATCTCCACCAGCGCCGGAATGACCTTGTCTTCCTGAGTGCGCCTGAGGGTGTGGTCCAATGAGGCAAAGCCGGTCGCAAGAAGTTCGCGCAGGTCCTCCAGAATAATATTCGGCGATCTGCGCTGGATGCAGTATTGTATGTGCAGTGTCACCAATTTGTTGAAGTCTTCCACGGGCTGTCGCAAATCTTCGCCCTCAAAGATGACGAGCATCTTCGCCTTGAGATACGGCCATGCATCATCGAGCGCCATGCTGTTGAGGCCGTACTTGCCTGCATCAATTGGTTCCGAGAGATACGACGACTGGTGCGTCAGACTTGGCAGACTGCTTGGCCCAGGCCATTCTGATGGGAGAGAACTCGATTCGACGCCGAGGCCGCTGCTCTCCTTTTCAGTCTTTTTGTCCCGACGTCCCTTGCCAAACGACGTTGCAGTCGGGGCCGGACTAGGGGGTAAGTTGAAACTGTATAAACTCGACGGGGCACTGGGGTCTGTGGGTTTCGAGTTGCTCGATGCGGACGACAGCGGGAGGTGGAATTCGTCCTTGAGCTTGTGCTTCTGCCGCGACAGAAAGTGATGCTTCTTTTCCTTTTCTCGCCCTTCTGGCTTCTCCATGGTGGGCGTTTCGGGCACGGCGCGGATGGTTGCAGAAGACGAGTTGTTGAGATTGTAGATGGACTGGCCGCTGGTATCGATCAGACTGCTGGTGCTGAAATTACCGCGCTGTAATGATGCGAGCGCGCTGCCGATCTTGCTGGGGCTCGGGAGCGGTTTGTCCTTGGGATCGCCCTTGGTGCCGATCTTGACAGGGCGGGAGAAGAGCTTCACCTTGGACTTTTCTGGCTTCGCCGGTTTCGGATCGGGGATGAGTTGCGGCGGGGGATGAACAGGATGGACGGAGTGAACTGGGCTATGCTGTGACTGTTGGTGGGCGATGTGCTGCTGTTGTTGTTGAGGCTGTTGCTGCTGAGACTGAGATAGACCCGGTGATGTCTGCCCCGACCGTGGAAAGGCGGCGTTCGCTGCTGTCGTCGCGGCCGAAGTACCCAGCAGGCCGTTGTGGTATCCTTGGTTCCCAAAACCACTCTCTCGTGGAGCGCTGGCCTCTGTCAGGCTTAGCATAGGCGGGCTGAGTGGGCCCCTCGCGCCGCTTCCCCTCCTCACGTTGTCGACGGCGTCGCCGCCGTTGGGGTTCGGTACGGTCTGCGACCGCTGTCGAGCGTGTTGTAGTTGTTGCTGGTTCTGTTGGTTGCTCTGGTGTTGCAAGACGGCGGCTTGTGCCGCGATCTGGCTGGCTGAAAGGGCCGGACTCGATTGCTGGTGGTGGTGGTGTACCTGGTGCTGATGTGTAGACGACGATGCGACGGAGGCAGGCTGTGACATGCCCACCTGGGAGAGGTTCGAGGTGCTCGTGGACGGGAGTGTCGAGTCGAAGAGGCCGGGCGTTTGGCTATGTTTCCTCGAGTGGCCTTTCGTCAAGGGGCTCGCGGTACGGGCGGCGGCGGATGCGATGTGGGTGTTGACGCTCAGGTCATGGTTTCTGCCTTCGCTTGCCCCTCCTCCTCCTATGGAACCTGCTGGTCCTCCGGGTGTGGTGCCGGATCGCTGGGCGGTCGGGCGCGAGAAGTTCTGCAGGCTCGCGGTGCTCGAGTTGGCCTGGGAAGTGAACTGGGCATATATCGGCGTCGCGGAGGAGGGGGCGGTGGGCGCGCTCGGTGCGTGGCTCCGTGGCTTGACGAAGTGTATAGCGAGATTCTCTTCACTGCTCGAGGAGTCGGCGCGGGCGGGAGGTCGTGGACGTTGCTGCGGCGGCGGTGCGCTGGAGGAGGAAGCTGTCGAGCCCGGCAGAGGGCTGAAGCTGCCCGGCGCTCGGGGCGGGGGTCGTGCTGGTTGCATTGTCGTGGATGTGTTAGGGGTCTGTTACATCTTGGGAGAGTTGGGACGATTCGAGATCGGGCGGCCCTCCAAGGTTTGTTTGCTGAATTGCTGTCGACCGCAGGGGTGGTGGGTGGTTGTGTTGGTTGTTCGTCTCTTGGTGGGTGAGGTGAGGTGAGGTGAGGTGGGCGAGGTGGGAGGAGTTGAAGGGTGCGAGGGCGCTGGCACAAGCGAAGTGGTGATGTAAGAGGGTCAAAAAAATACGAGGTCAGGGAGGAAAGAAGGAAGGGTGGTGGTTATGAGCGATCCAATACCACGAGTGGATTTTGATTGCGTCCAAGGGCTTCAAGGGCCTCGAGGGCGGCCGTGTGAGATAGACAGGATCGATTGGGGGAATTGATGCAGGATAATCGACAACGTAGTGTATCCCGTCTGCACAACACCAGGCCAGGCCAACCCTCGTCTGGGTCGTCTCGCGTGCGCCTTGGTTGCAAGTCTGGCTCGGGTGTAAGCAAGCAAAGATGCGGGCTATCCTTCCTATCGATATCAGCCCGGATCCAATCCAATGCACCTCAGAGTACGGATAAGCGACCCGTTGCCAAGGAGAAGCCGGCCGACGTTTTCGTTTGCGGTGAAGGACCGACGCCCTGGACGGCTGAACCAACCCAAAACCAAGGCACCGCGACGACTAACAGCATCCCCCGCTCTTAGGTGCTCCTCACCCCAGCCCCTTGTGCTGTTGGATCACTGGCACCGCCGCCGGGTTGCGACCCTGGCCTTCGCTAGCCTGGCTGGTGGGTGTCTGGGCCTTGCCGTTTCGGTGCTAAAATCCAGCAACAGGTGAAGGTAACCCCGCAGCGTCATTGCGCGCAAGAAAAAAAAAGACAGTCCCCATCTTCAGCGGAACATTGAGGACCACCACCACTGGAATGGAAGTAGCCGCACCCGCAAAGCCGCACAGCGCCAGATTTTCGTCATAATTGATTTTCCCATGCTTCCTTTTTCCGACCCCTCCCCCTCCAACGACACACATCACGATCGCCATTTCTCGCCAACCCCCCCTTCCCCTGCCGGCGTCCACGCTCCCCTACCTTGACACTCCCGTCGCTCGTCCAAACTACGAAACTTTGACGCACCAGCTGCAACCGACAGAACCATGGCAGCAGAAATAAACGGCACCGCCGCCGCTCCGGCCCTCCAATTCACGGCGACCTACAAGTCCCCCGCCAACGACCCCTTCACCCACTCGGAGTCCATCCCCGCCCCGCCGACCTCCGGCGTTCAAGACAAGACGGCCTACCTCAAGTCCCTGCGCGAAGCCATCAACACCGCCCAGGAGAGCATCAACAAGCAGCTCACGGCGCGCATGGAGGAGGACAAGGCGCGCGAGGCCGGCAAGAATGGCTCCAAGACCGCCGTCGACGAGGCACTCGAGGAGGAAAACTACGGCGAGGAGGCGCCTCCCAACGACGACTGAGAGAGAGGAAGAGAGTAAGAGAGAAGGGACAAAAACTTTGAAGCTACGAAAAACGAACGCAACGCCTCGTTTCAGAGCGCCATCGTACATTCTTTGCCACCTTATATACGGGGTATTGCTGTATCATGCTGCCGCTTCCCCATTTGCCCTGGCTATGCAAATACCAATATGTACGAAGGAAACCAACTCCCAGCACCAATCAACCCGGCTCCTCCTACTCCTACAGCACACCCCTTACGAAAACCTACGAGCCCAATTTCCCGCCCGCGAGCTCTGCGGCCTGTGCGACGCCGTCTTGTTCGAGCAGCCGTAATGGACGACGCTGTTATCGGGCAATACCGAAATCACGGTGCTGCCACCGAGCCTCTTGTGACACACACCGCAGAGGCGTTCCTCCGTGATCACCACCCTTCTATTGCGTCCCCCTTGCCCACCAGGAATTCCGTCACCGAGCACCAACAGGGCTTGCGTAGATACCAGCTCCGTGTCTCGCAACCGGGCAACAATGCGCGACTCGTTCACCACGCTGTTGGCAGACCTGATCCTGCCTCGGAAGTAGGATTCAAGGTCTCGGACGGAAAGGTCATCGGGGATCAGCGAGAGGGTCGAGGCTGCTGGGAGACGTGAACCGTGCCTTGAGAGAAGTTCGAGTGCTGGCGCATGGGCGGGTTTGTGAGGTGGCGGCGGCGTCAGGTACAAAGAGAGTAGTGTGTGGTAGATTGATGGTGTCGAGTCCTCGAGGTCGCCTGCTGAAGACGGTCTCCGCGATCGGTCCGGGGACCGTGATCGGTCTGGCGACGATGACGCGGACTCCTTTGACTTGTGCACCATGTTGCAGTACCTGGGCAGGTTAGCCAATGCAAAGACGTTAAATAAGGCAATACTTACTCTTCGGCCTTCGCATAATTCTTCATTTTGAAAACGTAAATTTCCAATGCCTGCTTGTGCGAACCCATGTTGCTCAGCACGACAGCTTGAGCTTCATAAAAGGCCGGATCTGCATCACGTCAGTAATCATCAAGTCCGGCAAACAGTGGTCAAACGTACCGTCTCGCGGGATGAGACCAAATGCCTTGCTAAGACTATATTGCCCACTTGTTTTGAGGAACGCAACGAAGCGTTCCATTTCTGCATCCCACTCGTCATCCCTCTTCTTCTCCTTCAGCTGTCTGATGAACAACTCCGCCAGACGGTTGTGGAAGTCTGGGGTCGTATCGTCTAGCTCATTGATGATATGCTCCAAGTACTGGACCTCCAATGAAGGGTTGATGCCGCCCAAGAAGCGGGCTACCCGGCCACGGGGTAAGGTCTCCGCGTTCTCAGAGTCAGCGATGAATATCTCCATGGCCAGCTTTGGATCCGCCTTCAACACCCACTCAGAGTACTGGAGAATCAGATCAATCTCTGACGGCGGCAGGTTTTGAAGATACATCACCGTCCGCGGGGGACCGTGCAGAGCGGGAGCGGTCTCGTCGGGCTTCTCGGCCGTTCCAAAGCGCTTGAGAAGCTCCAGCGCTTGAGAGTGAAGCTTCTTGCCGCTGAAGAAGTCCACAAGCTCGTTGTACCTATTATGAGCGAGAAGCGCTTCGTTCACCACGTCTGGGTCGCAGAAGTTGGGCAGTCGGAAGAGAGATCCGGCCAGAGATGGGCTGGTCGTCATGTACGTTCTGAACAAAGCCGTGTCAACCATCCTTGAAGTTCTCAGTAGCTCTCCCTCCAGTTGGCTTCCCGTCTCCTCGCCATGGACTGGTGACATGAAGCCCTTCATCGCGTCTTCGGTCGAGCCATTGGTGTTTGACCGCTTCAGCTTGCCGGTACTGGGGTCAAGCACACGTTGTAGGCGTGTTCTCGTCCCAACCAAGTAACCAGCCAGCGTCCTGACTGCTGCCAGAAGATCGTCACCTTCGAGAGGTTTGTCCTCCGCCAACCTTCCCTTGATGCTGTCAGTTACTTCGACGTCCAACGCATTGCTCTTAGATATGATGGAAGCCGTGTCCGACTGCGGCGGTGCGGGTGCCTGTTTTCGTCCCATGAAAAGCTTTGCAAAGCCAACACCGCCACCTCTCGCGGGGGAAGCCGGGCTCTCACTGGGTTCGTCCTTGGCTGACTTGTCACCATTGGTTTTTCCATGGACTTCTTCCTCGCCATCTCTCTCGTCACTGCCCGACTCTTCCTGAGCACCGTGCGCCCATCCGGACATCTCACCCGCGATCGAAGGCGGGAAGAGCTTCAGTACACGTTCAGGCGGGGCGTGGACGTCCTCCTCATTGAACAGATCCATGGCGTCATAGTATTTTTTCTGTTTGAAGAGCATCTCTGCTTTGAGCATCTTCACCTCCCGCAGGGTCTCCGTCTTATTGCGCAAAAGAGCATCTTCGAGCATGCTCAGAATACTGACGGCCTCATCGTATTTGCCCTTCTCGACCAGCTCATCGATTTGCGAGTCGTAATCGGTGGCACCCATCCTCCACACACATCGATCGCTAGAAATGTGGAATCCCTTGCCTGCATGCGCCAGACTGAGATTGGGTGATGGAAGATGAAGCTGCGCCGCACCAGGAAGAGAAATGGTCTGCAACAGCGACAATGTCTCTGGATTCCTCACTTCCAGAGAGCCTTTCGAGGGTGCCTGAAGAGCTAAAATGTAGGGATAAGAGTATCCAATCTGCTCCGGCGCCGCTTGCCATGGTATCTGTCGTTTCTCAACCGGTTTGCCTTCATCGGTGATGAACATTGAGTTGATATCCTTGGCCAACAATAGCTCGCCTTCGGACAGCTTCGCTGCGAGGGGTTTCGGCATGTATCCTCCGAGACCCATGTACCCCATACCCGCGCTGCTAACCGCTCCGAAGCGGCTGGCTTGTTGACCCGACGTTGCAGAGCCCGGGCTGATGATATCCTCAACCTCTTGACTTATAACATCGACCATTACATAGCCGGCGTTCATGCCGCAGACGATCTTCGTCGCGCTGGCCCATGTTACGGTTCGTATTGACTCCGGCAAGGTGATCTCGCCGACGTCGGGGCTAAGCTCGCTCTCCTGCCAGCTCCATAACAACAGCCGCCGACGGACGGCAACGGCCATGCGGCTGATGATCTCTGGTATTCCGGTAGCGGCATCTTTCACGATGTTGGAGGTTACAGCGAAGCAGGTGGCATTCTTCGTTCTTTGAAGCTGCTCGATCGGCTCGTAGGTCTGAAGGTCGTGCAGCGAGACGTAGTAGTTGGACAGCGATACGATGGTAGTAGCTTCTTTAAGAATAGCAAGCTGTTCGATCGCCCTGGTCGAGAATCTATCTATCTCACGCAGCAGGTCCGTCGGTTTCTGCGGCGGTTGAGCGGTGTTGAGGTTGTTGTTGGCTGCCGGCGGTGGGCTCGTCGCGGAGGGCTGGGAGCCATTGGCTTGGGTCGGTGACGGAGGGGACAGCTCGTTTAGGCGGTAAATGCGGAGTGCACCGCTGTTGAGGCCGACGAAGACGCGGTCGCCTGTGAAATAATATGTGAGAGGAGGGCGTCATCACGCAGGAGGCGGGCTACATTTGGGGCAACGACGCACCATGCGCGAGGATTGTCTCAATCTTGGACTTATCCCGCTGCTTTAGCTCTATGATCGGCCGTGCTGTAAATGCTGAGAGCATGGCGACTGCCGGGCCGCAGGGCGAGTGTGTGAAATATTCAGTATACCGTCATCAGTAGGGAGGTTCGTCTCGTTTGCGCCGGTTCGTCACTGCAGCAGAGAAGCGTTCATGATGGCGCGCGCGGGAGAGATGTTGGAGCTTCGGTTCAGGTATGGCTGGATGCTTGTTGCTGGTAAGGTAGGTAAGGTACGCCGTAGTCGTCGGCCGTACGTCAGGACGAAGTCCCCACAAGGGAGCCGATGACCTCTTTTGCCGCCCGTTTGGGACTAGCGCCGCTGCTATCCTTCCACTTGAAGCAGCGAGTCTCCACCTCCTTCAACATCTGTTGGGAACAGCTGCTGATTGGTCAGTGGTACATCGGGATTTGCTGTACATCCTTCACATGCATTAAGGCACTTTACTTTCGACTGCAGCTTGAATGAAGCTCCAGCTATTGAAGAAATGCTTGGATAGATGAATAACTTGAAATTGCACGCTGCTTCGTAGGAAATATCTCGACACGCCATTCTAACTTTCCCTCGAAACTATGCGCTGCATACGTGGCAGTCGCAAGGAAATAACCAAATCAAGCCCAGTGCTATCTATGCCAGTATCTATGTGCTGAACTCATCCGAGAACCGATATCTCCGAGTTCATGATCCCCTTTTCCGAGTTTACGCAAAACAAAAACGATGCCAGATGCACCGTGGCACGTGTATGAACGAGCATGTGTATGTGAGAAATGTGTACGGGATAGCCCTTAGTCTAGTCCAGCGACCCTCATCAGCCCGTATCCAAGGGTCACAACGACAGCCAGTGTGAGGATACTGCTGGGAACACCTCTGCTGATGAAGTGCTTCACTTGGAGATATCTCTGGCCGGTCGGGTCTTCCTTCATGATGGCAGCTACGAAGAGTTAGCTCTAGTCCAAGGCAAGGATTCCAAAATGACTTACTCATGTTGGGGAATCCACTGGTAGGCAATCCCATAGCGGCACTGCACATTAGTACACCACCCATGACGAGCAGGTTGGGGTGAGGCTCGTCCATGTTGCTGCCGACATCGAACACCAGAGGCAAGATGATCAGAGCCGCGACCGTGTGGCTGATAAACGTGGCAATGATGAGAATCAGGGACGAGAACACAACAAGAACTCCGTAGAGGCTCATGCCCTCGACCTCCTTGGTCACCACGCCGGCGATGGTGTGCAGCAGGCCAGATGACTTGACCGCCTTGCCCAGAGCCAAGCCTCCAGCAGCCAGGATAATGATGGTCCACGGGAAGTTGTTGAAGTCTTCCTTGGTCAGAATACCAATACCAAAGAACAGGACGATGGGGATGATGGCAATGACACCCATGTCTCCGAAGACGCCTTCCAACTGATGGCTGGCGCACCACAGACCGATTGTGACAATCGTTACGATGGAGACAAAGTACTGAATGCCGGTGAACTTCTCCTTCACAGGACGAATGGGGGCAATTGTGGTTCCCTTGCTTGGCTGGAAAGTGATGAGAAGCAGAACCCAGATCACGAGCAGCGAGACAACGCCAACGGGAATGACAATGAAAAACCACTGGATCCAGGTAGGCGCCGGCTTCATGATTCCAACAGCAACCACGTTCTGCGGCGATGCGATGGGCGACAGCATGCCACCAATGTTGGAGGCAAGTGCAATACCCATGATGACCGCCTTGGACATGTTGGACTCAGAAGGCAATGTGCGCAGCATTGGCTAGGAACAGTGTTAGTAAGATTCACGTTTGTGCCAGGTAATTTGGACTAACCTCGATAATGGAGAAGCAAAGGACAGGAGCAGCAACATTGCTAATCAGCATACTCGCGAAAGCGGCGACCAGCATGTTGGCGATGAGAACCGTCCGGGGGGTGGTTCCCGCCTTGCTCAGAACAAACGTGGCAAGTCGCTTGTCAATCTTGCACTTAGACAATGCAGCCGCCAAGGTGAAACCACCCAGGAGAAGCATGATGACGGGTGTCCACATGGCCGAGAAGATGTACGAGGTAGCAGCCTTGGAATCAAGCCTCCTATGCGGCTTGTCCTCTGAGCGAACGACAGTCAAGACAACGCAGAGGAAGGGGATCATCAGTGAAGTCACGAATAATGGAATGGCCTGTGGAGTGTGTTAGCTCTGACTCGCTCGACTCTGTGACCATCGAACTCACCTCCGTAGCCCACAAGATGCTGACGAACACAATCAGTGCCAAACAGTTTTGCTGCTCAGGCTTCTCCATGATGGGAATGAAGAGGAGCAGGAAGAAGATGACAAACGCAATCAGAAGGGTAAGCAAGGGCGTGCTGGCCACCCAGGTCGGGACGACGAAGCGTCCCACGGGAGTAACCACCTCCTTTGTGACGGGGGCGAGCTCGTCATCTCCTTGAAGTCGTCGAGCGCCGGACAAACCGTCTCTAGCCAGCAGGGTTCTGCCCAAGCTGGCAGCTTCAGCACGGCGCTCCATACCGATCATGTCTCTCCAGACAGTGTTTCGCTCCCAGACGACATGTTCGCGGAGGTGAGACCGCAGATCTCTCTTGGCGAGGTTCTCGTCGCCATTGGTGACAACCTCAGCGTATGCCTTTTCCATCTTGGAAATGTTCTCTTCGATCGTCTTGATGCTCTCCACCTTGAAGGGGTAGGCGGAATCGACGTGGGTGCTCATGTACTTGGGGCGCAGCTCCCTGTCCACGATCTTGTCGAATTTCTTCAACACCTTGCGGAAACCCGTTCTGTTGAGCTGCACGTACGACTTAAACTCACAGAGCTGGACATAGAGGCTGATGATACGCTTCTTGAGCATGATGCTCGACGAATAGAGGAAGGACTGGTCCGGAATCTCGTCCTGCGTGGTGCTGTAACGTCGTAATGATCTTCCCAGCGTCAGCTCGGTCGACGCCGTCAGCTCAGTCGTGGAGTGGCCGAGGTTGGGAGCTGTCTTGCGTCTGCCTCCACCAAGACTGGACCGGCTCTTTGTCAGACCGGTGGTCTCGTCGTCGTCCTCATCGTCATCGCTGTCGTCCATGTTGCCATCGATCGACTCGGATCTTCTGCCGTTGGTCCCCGACATGCCCGGTCGGTGTCCGCTGCCGAACGACCGCCTAGGCCCGCCGTTCTCCTCCTCATCTTCCGAAGAGAAGTTGCCGACGTCGCCAAGCAGCTGGTTGACCTCATCCAAGAGCTCGCCCTCCTTGGCCACGTAAAAGGAGCAAATCTTCTCCAGCTCTACGCCGAGTGCGCGGCTGAAGACATCTTCCGGCTCCTCATTTCGGATGAGAGGTCTCGATTCGGCATCGCCTGCGCTCGTCTGGTGGACGGTCTTCTCGAGCTGGTAGATCCTACAGCGAGGCATTAGTCATCTGAGACTTCGGGGTACGGTTGGAGAAGGCATTGGGATCTCACAGCTTCTTGAGGTTGCTGTAGGCAATGTAATGACTGCTCCAGTCCGGAACAGCATTAAACTGGATGCTGTGGGAGAACTTCATGTCGTCCTGCTGCTCGAGCCACTGCTTCTTCCAAAGTCTCTTCTGTTCGCGCCGGGCGGCTCGGTCGTCGGCGGTCTTGCGCTCGGCAATGGGCTTGTAGTCGTCGAGCTCGAAGCTCTGGGTGTCCGCAACGGCGGTGCTATGGCTGTTGGCGGAACTCCCTCCCCGTTCCCGAAGGCCTGATGATGGGTTATCGAGGTCAATGAGAAGTCCTGGCGGCGCAGAGCCTGGTTGATGGGTAGAGGAGGGATTGCTTTGGGGTGCCTGGGGCGGTATGGTGGCAGAATGCGGTCGCGTGCGACTTCTTATCGGGATGGGGTATCGCGATGCGCGCGGATCAGGGTACCTAGGCGTGCTGGATGGTGTTTAAGCTACTGGAATAGCATCCCGCGTTTTCGTGGTGGCTGCAACACGTGGGGAAAGCGTTGGTCGTCCTGTCTCCCAGCTTGTTGAAAGAGCCGCGTGACGATGTAATTGGTTTCATTTGGGCCTAGCGCAATCCAGCTCCACGGGTGCCACGTCCTTGCGATTAGTGTCGTTGCCATTGGTTGCAGGTCGCTCGGATGAAGCAGAAATCCATCTCGACCCAGCAATCTATGAAGCTATCAGGGTATTACCTAAGACAGTGACGTGACCTTATTTACCAAAGAGGTGTAGAGGTGGGTGCACCACCGATATAAAGTTTCATCCTTGAAGGGCATATTCAATGCTAGACCCTCCAAGTCGCCAGCCATCGTGGGGAGCTCCTTGGACGAAGTCGTTCTTATCATGCTTTCCCGTGGAAATCAAGTCGTATTCCGAGTTCTCTCTGTACAATCGTCGGAGAACGACGAATCTTGCTATTACTACCTGTACTGTCCAACTCATTCCTACACCCTATTCAAACATGCTTCTGTTTCTTCACAAAGCTTTTTTTTTCTTTCTCCTCCAAAGGCGAGTAATCCTGTCTATCTATACGCAAACCCATGCTGTGGATATCTTTCTTATGCTCGAATCCCCCTAATGCAGTGCTCTTCTGAAGTCTGGAAACTCGAGTGGGTATCAGTCAAATGAAATGCCGAGAAAGACAGACAAACACAAAAAGAACATGTCCTCCCTCAGAGGGATTGCCGCAGCCTGGCACGGAATCTCTCGCAGTTGTACTGCAGCCAAACTACAAGTGGCACTGTCGAAACCGCAGCGGCTGTGATGAACCACTTTGCGGTGCTGTTGCTGGTCAAATTTTCCAAAGCTTGCTCCGCCAGCGGAAACAATGCGCCGGAGGGGTATCTCAGAAGAGCAAGCGAGGCGCTGGTGGCCACCGCATGCTGGGGTGAAAGGTCAATGATGTATACGGCCGATGTCATCTGCAGTTAGAAGTCAGCCGTCAATCCCCAAAAAAAGAGGCAACATCACGGAGGGTATCTTACAGTGATGGCAAACAGCCCGCTGCCGATGATGTAGTCGCCCAACAAGGGCACCAAGTAGGACACGCCCGGCCGAGCAGTCATGTTAAATATAATCATGCCAGCCACAACCAGGAGAGCAGCGGCACTCAGCAGCGGGAGACGGTGCTCTGGAAGCCTATCACCGCCGCGCGCAAGTCTCGAAACCACGACATCGCTCAGAAAGCCGAAGATGAGGAGTCCGGTGAACATGCCGACGCCCATGCCGGCAAATGCCAGACCGGCCTCGGCGGTGTTGAAGTCATATACCGTCTTGTAAGTCATCGGCACATCGATGTACAGCCAAACCTGGAGGCCGTAGAAGAACGATGTAACCATGATGGCTGGCAAGATACTAGGCTCGAAGGCTAAGGTCAAAGGCCGGATCGCCGCCTTGTAGAGCAGCGACCGCAACGGCTTGGGTGCAACGGTCTTGCTCTCGTCCACCTCACCGTCAACGTTACCAACAATGCCCATTGCGGCGTACTTGCGCCGAAGCACCGGCAAGTACGTCTCGCGCATGAACACCTGCGTGAGGATGGTACTCATCAAACACTATTTCATCCAGTCAGCATGACTCTATCAAGTTGGGGAACATGAGATGACGCCCATCAGTCCGCCTCATCATGAGCAACTCACCATAAAAACCAGGAAGCCAAAGCACCCCCTCCAGCCCCAAACCTGCGCGATCCCGCCTCCGAGCGCAGACCCGACCGCAGGACTGCAGACGCTCCCGAACGCCATCACCGACAACGCCCGCGCCCGCTCATGCTTCAGCATCACGTCCGTCGCCGTCCCGGAGCCCTGCGTGATCGGGCTCGCCCCGGCGCACCCCGCCAGGAACCGGAAGAAGACGAGCCACTCCGCCGACGGCGCGACCATGCAGCCCAGATTACAGAGGAGAAGAAGCACATTGCTGACCTGGTACACTGGCCTCTTACCAAACACCTCGGACAACGGCGCGATCAGCAGCGGCCCGGCTGAGAACCCCAGCACGTACGCCGAAACCGTCAGGTGCGCCAGTGAGGGGTCGTCTTCGATACCGAAGTCGCGGATCACCTGGTCTAACGCCGGCGTGTACACGGCGGAGGCTAAGGGACTGTACCCGGAGAAAAAAAGCAAGACACGCGGTTAGCGCGGGGGTTCTTTTTTTTTTTTTTTTTGACACCAACGGTGCAGGATGGCGCGAAGTCTAGAGGGCGGTCTGCCGCCCGCCGCTTGCATGTCGGCCATGTATGGTGGAGGTGTGGACTTACGTGACGCATGTAATGAAGGCGACCACTAAGATGTGAGTCCACCGCTTCCTAGCGGACCACAAGATGGGATCGAATGGTTCGCGGCCGTCTAATTCGGACGGCGAAGCTTCTGGCGCGGGGTGGTGATCGGCGCCGGCGGCGTCAACGTCCGCCTTCTCAGGGTCCAGAAAGCGGGTAGCTTCGTCGGAACGCCTGTCATCCGATGGAAGCCATTCTGAGGTTTCGATGATGGCGGTGCTAAAGTCCTTCTCATCCAACAACCGGATCCCATCATCCCCATCTGCCGCCCTGTTGTTGGTAAGCATTGCCAAAACCCCGGTTCGGCCAAGTTTTGAGGTCTTAACCGTCCGGATCGCAAGAAGCTTGCTGATCTTTGATTTGTCTTTTTTCTGCCTTCTTTTTGACAATCGGCGATGGAGGGGAGCAAAGGTATGTAAACTGGAGTTCGGCCAAAACCAAAGAGGGAAGCTTGATGCCGACGGGATAGAAGCTCTCTCGTCGTTTCCGACGTTTTTCCTTCTTATTCCCTCGCTTGCAGAGCGCAGAGGCCGTCTCTGATCTGTTTGACAGGCTGTTTGTCGTTCTCGTAATGGCGAGTCAACGGAGGGAAGACGATAGAAAGGGGTGAAAGGATGAAGCCGGAAGAGCACAGCTTCGGAACGAGGCCGTTGCCCGTTCGGCTTGCACGGCTTCATGGGAGACCCCGGCGTGGAGGAAACGTATCAGGACCGCCCCGCAAGCGTTGCGCTTCAAACTTTAATTTACGAGCTTGAAAAGTGGTCGATGCGACGCTATTCAGCGTTGTCGGTGAGCGACCACTTTTTTGACTTTCAGTAGGTTGCTGATGTGATCGCGTTACTACGAATACAGGCAAACACCGACAGCTACCACACATTGGCGATAAAGCAGCCATGTCCTGGCTTTCATGGAACCGCCGTCCGGTAGCACAATGGCATTCTGCCGTCCTACCCGCGCGTCCGCGCACCACCGCACTTTACCTCATACAGGACTACGGTATGGCATGGCAATTCGCCTTTACCGTCCGTAACGCATTGTCTCGAGAATACAGACTTTTGGCGTAGGTGCCGACTCGGCGGTTGGCCTGTATCACGATGTTGGCTTGGCATTATAGACTCCCCTCGAACCAGAGTAGAGTTCCCGCCAGATCGTGAAGAGTAACCCCTCCTCTGCCAAAGAGACAACGGCAGTTCTTACCACGGCTCGAGTAATGAGAGAATAAATATGACACGAGAACCCCGCCGTGGCATATAGTCGTCGCAGTGGTGCTGGCTCATGCGTTGCAGCTGGTTCACCGCCAAACACCTGTCGAGACGCCGCCTGTGCACGACGTCGTGACAATTTCGGAGTATTCCCTAAAGCACGCGGTCTGGGCCAAGCCAGCCCACTTCCCCTCAGCCATCAGTTATCCCCTCTATTATAGGGGTCCTGGAGATCTCGGACCCGCGCCGAGGCTCGGCTGGGGGTGACCTCTCATTGGAAAAGATGGTCTCCGAAAAAGTTCCGGACCCCTCGGGGTCCCTTCCTGAGGTCGTTGTCAATGGGGCTCAGAAACATCACCGTGACATTGACGTTGAAAAGTGCGCAAAAGGTCCTTCTGGCGAAGATATTGCGATTGAACCGACCGAGGAGAAGGAGACGATGCGGCCCAGATATTTCGACGGGACGGCGACGCTGACTGTGGGAGATGGTGTGATTCTCATTCCAACTCCGAGCGCGGATCCGAGAGGTACGTCTTTCCATCATTGAGCAATCTCCCAGAGACAAGCTAGGCAAACTCTCGTGCGAATAACGGACATTTTTTCACTGACGTTGCGCAGATCCTCTCAATCTCCCAGGATGGCACAAGAAACTCATAGTGGCGATCATCGTGCTGTGTAAGTTAACCCAGCGCCAAAAAGTCAAACTGAGATTCGATCTCCGGAGGCCTAGACTCACAATGTGGTCCTTACAGACGCAATATCCGGCGTATGCCTAATCACCGCCCTCTCCGCGCTGATTGTGTATATCATGCCGGATTACGACCGCGAGGGCATCACCCCGGACCAGATCTCGAACCTCTTCACATTCCCCAACCTCTTCCTGGGGCTCGGCAACCTCGTCTCCATGCCCATCGCCGTGGCGGTGGGCAGACGGCCGGTGATTCTCGCATCCAACGTCCTGCTCTTCCTCGCCGCCGTGCTCTGCGCGACGAACCGCAGCTACTACTGGCATCTCGGCGGGCGCATGGTCGCAGCTTTCGCGGCAGCCCAGTGCCAGGCCTTGGCTCTGCTCATCCTACAGGTATGGCACACACGGCATGAAGTGTCCGTGTCCGGAGCTATATTGGGTCGTCGGCTAACTTCAAACGCCTCAGGACGTCTACTTTCTCCACCAGCGCGCGCGCGTCTTCCAGGTTTATGCGTCCGCGGAGGTGCTCCTAAATTCCAGCCTGGTGATCGCGTCGTCGTACATGGCCGACGCCCTGGGCTGGCGGTCGTGGTACTGGCTGTTCGCCGGCCTCTCGGGCGTCGCCATGGTCCTGACCTACTTCTTCGTCCCCGAGACGGCGTACGACCGGTCCATTGAGTCTTTCATGGGGACCCAGCCGACTGATACGAGCAACCTGCTGCCCGCGCAGAGCAGCAGCAATGGCGCCGGGCTCCTTGACCGAAGCCGGTCGCCGGGGCCGAAGTACACCACGGCGGACGACAGGCCGAGTCTGGATTTCGAACGGTTCGAGAAGCGCACCTTTGCTTCGAACCTGACAATCTTCGTCCACAAGCCGACTTGGTCTCGATGCTGGCTGTGCCTGAAGCAGATCGGGCAGGTGTTCCTGTTCCCCCACGTCCTCTGGGTCGCCATCAACAACGGCCTCTTCCAGGGCATCGACGTTTCCATCCAGATGACGTATGCAGAGGTGCTCGTCAAGCCGCCCTACAACTGGGCCAACACCTCCGTCTCCCTCATCCAGCTGGGTCAAATCTTCGTCGCCCTGCTATGCGTCCCGGTGATCGGCTGGATGAGCGACTACGTCATCCGCGTGTCCGCCCGACGGAACCACGGCATCCACGAGCCGGAGCAGCGACTCCTCGCCTGGATCCTGCCCATGGTGACAGCCCTGATCCTGACAGTGCTGTACGGCTACGTCCTGAAGAACCCCGAAAGCTACCACTGGATGGCCATCGTGTCCGTCGTCGACGGCTACCTCATCGTGCTGATGGGAGTCAACACCGTGGGCACGGCGTACCTGATCGACAGCCACCCGAGCTTCGCCGGCGCGATCTTGGTGGCGCTGCCCGTCACCCGCGGACTGGTCGGTTTCGGGCTCAGCAAGCATACCACGGAGTACATTACGAACCTCGGCCCGGTCCGGACGTTTGGGATCTACGCCGCCGTCAGTGCGGCGTTTTGTTTGTTGGGCGTCCTTCTGTTTTTCAAGGGCAAGCGAGTCAGGAGGATTTGCGCTCAATTGACGCAGTAATGCGATGACGACCTTCATGAAGTATTGAGATATGAGACGTAGAAATGATGGGGAACAATCGGGCGCAGGTATTGGGCCTTGAAACAATTACACTTCTTGTACATATTAAGAAATACAGCAGAGTGTACAAAAAGAACGTTGCTTCTCCAACCTACCTACGTGATCTTTCTCAGGATTGAGACCACAACTGCAGGCCACAAAGGGTTTGCAGTCGTCAAGGATTATGACAGTCTCAGCTGGTGAGACATTAGACTTTATTGAAGAATAGCAGCTGATAGGATATGATTCGAAATGTCACTTTGACTAGTAGGATCGATTTATGATAGACTGAAAGACAACCTCCTTCAATTACTTTTCAGGTACGCCGCTCTTTCAGAAACTGACAGTGTTGGCCTTATCCAAAGACAGCTCAGCCGAGGAAACCCTTTATCGTAGAGCTGGGTAGTCTTGGTGACTAGATCGAGAGGAGAAATGCGACGAACTTTTGATGAATCAATCCCGCTCGACATCATGGCTTCCAGTTATAAGGGTCAGTTCAAGACTCCCATTCCCACCTTCAACTCACAGTAATCAACCATCAACAACCAATTACATCAAAGCTCAAAATCAACATGAGCTGGCGCAAAGTCTTCAGGAAATCTTCCTATCGTAGAGAACGTCTAGACGACTCCTCGTCGTGCTCATCGTCATGTTCCTCGTCATGCACCGGCTGTTCCTTGGACGAATCCCAGAGCATCGACAGCGAAAACGTCTTCCGCGGCGCAACCCCAGCCCCTAGCACCACCAACCCCGAAAGCCGCGCAGCCGCACCGCACCGCAGCGTCCTCGTCCGCTTCTCCTTCCTCAAAGACAGCAACAACACCATCCCAGTGCGCCTCACAGACCTCGCCGGCGGCTACGGCATGTACCACTTCCTATACCTGCTCAGCGAGGCCGCCATCATGCTCATGTGCAACCCCGACACGACCGTCCCGTTCATCGTGGAGCACCTGCGCCCCGTGCATGCCGTCATCCAGGCCTACTTCAAGGTCAAGATCCGCTGGGACCTGGGCGGCGGACTGCTGGGGCACACGGAGCTTCCTCTCGTCGACGCCCATGAGACGTGGGATGACGTTGTCAAGATGCTGGTGGGATTGGGTGGGAGGGGAGGCTGCGTGGTGGTGGACTTACCGGAGGATAAGGTGGAATATTTGCGGCGGGTGGTCCCTGCGGTTGTGAAGCCGGATGACGAGCCGGAGACAGATGAGGAGGAATACCCGGAGTATGCGGATGAATGTGGGTCTGTGTGACCGAAATCACCGGAGTGGGGCCCGGCACGGCGCTTGACCAACTCGGCGTGTCAATAAAAATGAAAGCCGAGAGATATCTCCAAATCTACAATGAACACATCTGACCACCAAGTGATGACCGCTGCGAAATCCCATCCCAATTCGAGATTAGGTTCAGTCTGGGCGCCGAAATAAACGGTCACAGTGGACACGCCCGCCCCTGTCCGACCCCTGAGCTCCGCGAACCACTCGGCGCGTCCCCTGCCGCACGTGCACGCACCTCCCCACACAAGCTTCAACATCTTTCTCGCCTCCCGCTCATCGGAGGTTAGTCGCATGCATCATCGTCAGAACTGCACCAAACCTCCAGGCGAGGTTCCAACAGTCGACAATACGTCCACATCCATCGGCGGGAATTACAATCCTGCAAGACAATACCGCCCCCACAGGATAGACACGCCAGTGAACCCCTGGTTCCTGCACGATAGCGCCTGGCTGCATTATCTCTCGGTTCACCACCACCCTCACCCGGAGGAACCCACGTGGGATACACCCAAGCCCACTCAAGGTTCCCCAATCCCAAATGGTTTTATCGTAAATGACCTTGACGAAAAAAAATTAAAACCATATATACATATAAATAATGGCATGGCTTCCTCACCTTGCTTCCCACGCAGGCCACTAGCCTCCCCCGCCGCCTGGATCAAGTCCCTCGTTCTCGTCGCCAGCTTCATCATCTTCGCCGAGTACACCCTTTCCCAAGTCATGGCGCCCAAGGCAGGCTCCTCCCTCCTCGCCGCGCTCGCCGTCTTCGGCACCGGCTCCGGCGCCCTCAGCGGGTCCGGCACTACCGCCAGCGGCAACAGCTCCGCAGGCGCCGGCGGCGTCGACCTCACATGGCACGCCCCCGCAAGCTCCGAGGTCAACAACCTCACCTCCGTGATCAGCGGCAAGGGCGTCTGGGGCTTCATCTACGACACCTCCGCCACGCCGGACGACAAGTACGGGCAGTATAACTGGTGCAACATGCCCCACGTGCGCAAGACGGAGTACGTCAAGGCGAGCGATGAGTACGAGCTCAAATACGTCGAACTGGTTTGTTTCTTCTCTCTCACTGCCTTACAAACAATCTCACAGAAGCGAAGAATACTCACACTTCCCACAGATCCACCGCCACCACAAACGCACCCCCTACGCCTCCAACGCCTTCCCCGTAGAATCCTACCAGTGGAACTGCGACGAGCAAGGCCTCTTCTACTACGGCGAGCCCTTCGCCTCCGCCAACAAGCCCGCAAAGACCTACTGGAAGGTCTACATCTCCCCCGTCAACCCCTTCGTCCCCGCCGGCTGGATCGGGACCTGCCAGTTCCCGCAGATCACCGCCCAGGGGCTCGACGACTCCTGGGTCCACGGCGCCGACCTCTTCGGCGTCTACCACGACCTGCTCGGCTTCCTCCCGCCAAAGGACGCCGCCGGCTCCGCCGACTGGCTCGCCAAGGTCAAGTACCGCGTCACCAACAACCAGATCACTAGCCAGGTCGCCGGCATGGTCGTCAACGGCATGTGGGGCACCGCCGCCTCCACGGGCCTCAGCATCCAGGCCGCCGGCGTCGACTCCCTCGAGCCGCAGTACTCCTGCCCGGCCGGCGCCGCCCTCTTCTCCCGCATCAAGTCGTCCGCCAACGCCCCCTGGCAGCAGCACCTCGACGCCGCGGCGCCCCTCTACGCCACGCTCGACGACATCTCGGGCGTCCCCGCCGACGACGCCGGCTTCCACGCCAGCCTCGACCACTACTACGACAACCTCTCCGCCCGGCAGTGCCACGACAAGCCGCTGCCGTGCAAGCTCGTCGGCGGCGCGAACAGCACGACGTGCGTCACGCAGGAGCTCGCGGACGCGGTGTACCGCCTCGGCCACTGGGAGTACTCGCAGATGTACCGCGACGCGGGCCCCGACGCCCTCGCCGCCAGCGTCGCGAACTGGGGCGTGTGGGTGGCCGAGCTGGCGACGCATCTGCGCGCTGTGGTGGCCGGGCAGAGCGAGACTATCTACTTCCACAACGTCGCGCACGACGGCTCCGTCTCGAGGCTGTTGTCGATTTTGCAGCTCGATAAGATGGTCTGGCCGGGCATGGGCTCCGAGGTTGTGTTTGAGCTGTACAAGAAGAAGGCCAAGAGCTCTTCCGACGGCGCAGCTGTTGCCCAGAGAGCGGCTGGATCGGATGCGAAAGCCGGAGAGAGCGGGTGGTACATTAGGGTCCTCTGGAGCGGGCAGGTTCTCAAGTCATCGAACCCGTCGCTGGGTTTGATGAACATGATTCCTGTCGAGACGCTGCTGGCGTATTTCGATGGACTGGTTGGAGAGAATGCAAGCCTGATCAAGGGCAAGTGCACTGCGTAAGGAAAAATGAAATCACGGGATGATGTACGATGATATTTATCGACATATGACATGTGTACTTATACATCTAGTTCGTTGTAATTCATAATGGTACTTGATCAGTCGTTTGGTTGTCGATTTACACCAAGCCGCACTCTTTCTCAAGATCGCTCCACCGCTCTGAGCGCATGGGGTCTAGTTTCCTCACCTTAGCCATCCAGTTCTTGAGGTCATCAGTCTCGTCATCACTCAAAGATCGTCCCTCAATCTGCGGTAACGTCCTAGTGTAGTCCAACAGCGCCTTGTAGATGCCTACAACATCGTCGTAGTCCTCTGCTAGCTCCTTGATATCTTCAATCTCGCGCTTTACGTAAGTCGCTCTTTCTTCCTGTGAAAGGTTCCGGGCAATCTTGGGGCCGCGGTCTGACTCTGTCAAGTTCAAGATGAGGAAATGGTGGTAGTACCACAAGGACTGGTCCTCGGGGCCGACATTTAGCGCTTCGCGTACGAGATTCAGTTCTGCCAGAGTTAGCCAAATAAGCCATTTTGATACAATCCAGGTGTCGCACCGTTTTCAAGGAACCTCTGCCTAGCCTTATCATCGGCGCTGCGCTCATCCAACAGGCGGGGTATCAAGTTTGTGCGGTTGTGCCATGCTGAAAAGTTGGAAAGGTCGCCGTTGATCATCTTGGTGGTGTATGCGAATTCGGACTCGACCATGCTCTTCCCATCCAAGACCTCGCTTTCCAAGGTGGCAACGACCGTCCGCCGGTAGCCCCAGGCGTGGAAATTGCGGCGGTCCTTGGTCAGCATCTTGGACACCAAGCCTAGCTCCTCCTCCCATATGCGACGAGCTGTCGGTTTCGGCAGGAGTTCGATTGCTTTTTGGAGCAGCCACGAGCGGTACTTCCAGATCCAGTAGCTCTTTGGGAACTCGAGTAGGAGGGGTATCGTGAACGTCAGCTCGTTCTTGAGCGTGATGATAATGTCCTCGCTCGGAGTAGCCTTGTTGGGTTGGGGCGGCGCATCGGGTGTCTGGTCAGCTGTTGTACCACTCTTCCCATTCTCTGGGGCCGCTTGGGACGCGGGGGCGGGCTGGGTCGTGGTCGAGGAAGAGGGCAACGAGTCGGCGGAGGACGGAGACTGAGTGCATGCTGCTGATGAACTCGCGGGCGGCGCCGACGGCGATGGCCCAGGCGAGGGTCTTGATAATGATCCACAGGTTAGGCAGCGCCTGCGGACGTTCCATGCCGTGTAATGCTCCGGGTTGAGGCGGAGGAGCTTGGTGGTGAGGGAGAAGGTTTCGGGGTCGGAGGGATCGGGGCCGGCACGGAGGAGGCTGTCCTCGAGAGAACGTAGGTTCGCGATCTTGGCGAGGTCGGCCTGGAGCTGTGCTTCGGTGCGTGGCTTCCGGGCTGTGCGGGCTACGCCGTGCTGCGATGATGAGGTATCAGTACGATGGCCTGGGAGATACGGAGGCGATGGAAATGCTGGAAAGGCCAGCTGGCTAGCATGGGGCCGAGGGTCGCAAGGTGGTGAAACCTACGGTGTCCATGGGGAACTCTTGGATGCTCCAGGAGAGCGGAATAAACTTGGGAATGGAGACGACAAGGGCGGACGGGGAGGTGTAAGAGCCCGGAAAGATGTCCCGGTGAGGGAGCTCTGGGCGGTTGAAGCTGATGCGGGCGTTGGATGAGCCGACAGGGATTCCCCACCACCCAGGCGGCGTTTGGCGGATGAGACAGGTGGACAGGTCCCCAGAGTTGTCTCGTTTAGGCATGTCATTTAGCCACTTTGGCCCGAGCTCCCGGTGAAGAAGGCACCGACCCGCGTGTGCTGCGCTGTGTCGCGCTGCTTCTGTCCGCCATTTCCAACGTCACCTCCCTCCCAGCAGCAGGCGGTGACAAAGTGGAAGCTCCTCTCATGATTCTCCTGCCAGCAGCGACTCCTGTAGTTGTCTGCACTTCTAGTAACAATTCAGATCAAAATGGGTTTCATGTGACACACGCTGGAGATTGGGAGGCGGCAACTCCCTGACCAGCGTCACAAAGCCTCTTGCCTTTCATTCCTAAGTTGCCTCACGTATGCAGATGGCACCTTCTAGGCAGGATGAGCCAAGGGACCATCTATCTAGTGATGGAAATTCCCAAAAATGCAGAATTTTCCCCTTCTCTCCTCCATCTCCGCTCCTAAAACCCTTCTCTCCCCTAGGTACCGTCGTCGACTCGGCATCGTTCATACATCAAATATTCGTCGGCGTGCGTATGACGGCTTCGTCTTGTGGTCCTTGACGACTGTCACCTAGCAGCATCGATCCCCATATTCTTCAACTACGAATTTCTTTTTTTTCTGATAAATTTTTTAGTACTTCCCTTGCATCTTCCTTCTCCCAGCCACCAACATTGCGGCCAGCATCCACTCAGTTGAACAATGAGTCGATGCCCCAAAGTTCGGGGCAAGTCAAGACTACCAAACAGCTCTCGGGACTCCGGGTACCTTTCTGACGACTCGCCCGAAGACTATGGTTGGAATATTGAGAATGAGACACCGCACAGGAGTGGACGCCTTCTGGATCGCACCAACTATCACCTGTCTGTAGACGGCTCAGCAGCTAGAGACAGAGGGTCGGAAGACGACAAGAGCACGCACGTGTCACCGTCAACTATACGACGACCGAAGTTGGGCTCTGTGTCTCCCAATCACCCGAGATCGCCTTCAGTAACGCCCTCCCAAAGGCCACGGGTTTGTAACAGCTCATCGCCTCGCAGCGTTGGCTCTCTGCACAGTCCGGACCGTTTCGTTCCTCGCCGAGACCCTGCCACGCCGTCCTCCGAAAAGATCCGGGTAACCAAAGATCTCGACTCTTTTTCGCCAACAGAGAGATTGTTGAGGCATCAAAGTGCCACGTCGGATCCCTTCCAGAGGCCACAACAACGTGTTGTTGCTTTAGCATCCAACTTTCGATCCATATCGAACTCGATCTACCCAAGTAAGCTGCAAAAACGGCCGACTCTTCAAGATACTAACAACGAATAGTTCCCACCGCTCTGTCTGTCATTCCACAGAGCCCGGATGGCCACGGCACAGTCTGGACCGTTGGCGGTCCAGCCCCTCCTCCTGGAACCGCCGTAGATGATGGCCGTGGTCACTATCTTGAGAGTGGCACGAACGCGCGGCTGTTCACTACCAATTTCGCCACTTCTCGTGTCAAACGAAGAGAGGATTATGAGCGAAACCAAGGGATCGTCGCCGATGCTCTGCAAATCAACCAGGTTGAGAGACTGCTCGATTTTGAGCATCCGGTCCCCTCGCTGAGTCGAACATTGACACAAAAGAGCCAGCAAGCACAGCTAGAATCAAGAACGCACTGGACCGGAACAAAATGGGTAAGCCCAGAGAAGAATACCGGCAAGTGTTTTCCTGCCTACGCGTGCATTTTGCATTGCTGACGTTTTAATACCGCCTGCAGTTACACGGCCAGTGCAGCACAATCTACCCACCACGTCTTACAAAGTACTTGACGCACCTGGGCTCCGAGATGACTACTACTGCTCCGTGCTGGCGTATTCACCAACTTGCGGTTCTCTGGCTGTCGGGTTAGGCAGCGCCTTATACGGATGGACAGAGCAATTTGGCGCAGTTCCCATCGACTTTGTCCATCACAAAGGCTGGGTCACTTCGTTGTCCTTTTCCTCCGTGGGAGGGAGCAAAGCCATCCTCGCTATCGGGAGAGCTGGCGGTCAAATAACTCTGATATCCCTATTCGAGAGTCTACCGCGAATGTCGCTCAGGCAACAAACCTCAGTCAGCTGTGTCAGCTAGCGGCCAACAGTAACAATGAGACCGTCCAAAAACCCAAACGGTTCTGGTGGCCTTGTGCCCACGGAAGACCTTCTCGTCAGTAACGAACAAGGCCAGATCTGTTACTACGTTGTCGAGTGGCCACATACATGGGAAGTGGGCCGAGACTCTTGGGGTGGCACGGCAACACTGGTGGCGACTATTGCAGTTCATACTCAGCAGATATGCGGTCTTGTTTGGGCACCGAGTGGCCGTGAATTTGTCTCCGGATCCAATGATAACATGGCATGCTACTTCGAGATTGAGAAGATGCTGAAAACACGCAAGCGCAGCAGCAGCACATCATCCAACGAGACCGTCCGCCGAGGTCGAAGATCAGAAGTCCGCTCGAGGTCACCAGAAATCGCCGGCAACAGCTCCGAAAGCAGGTTTTCTTGGTTACCCAAGAGCTTGGAGTCGTTTCTTTACGGCACATCTGCGAGCGAAGCCATGGCGGAGCCAGACGTCCGAGGCAACGGCGGCCACCTTGTTCAAGGACAGGCAGATGAACAGACCACCTTTATTCGCGGATCAGAGAAGCATTGCTGGAGGCATGGTGCTGCAGTCAAGGCAATCGCCTTTTGCCCCTGGCAAGAGACTCTCATCGCTACGGGGGGCGGATCGAGCGACAAGTGCATTCACTTTTGGCACACGGGAACAGGCACCGCCTTGGCTACCATTGCCGTATCGGCACAGGTGACATCGTTGATCTGGTCCACGACACGACCCGAGATCGTGGCTACGTTTGGGTACGCAACACCGGATCACCCTTATCGAATCGCTGTATTCAGTTGGCCATCGTGCGAACAAATTGGCGCTGTTGCGTTGGACAATGGCGCTCGTGTCCTATATGCCATTCCGTACCCTGGAGCACCAGCTGATGCAAAAAAGGGAAGTCGGAGCGTGAAGGAAGGGAGCATCGTCATGGCTACAAGTGATGAGAACGTCAAGTTCCACGATGTTTGGCAAGACAGAAAGAACGCCCCGATGGGTGGTGTTGGGGTGTTGAGTGGCAGCGATATACTCGAAGGACTGGACGGTATTTTCAAGGAGGGGGCCGTCATTCGTTAATGCTTGTGAAGGAGTGAAGGAGTTGAGAGTAGACGCATTGATAGAATGAGACAATATGCCTCCTAACAGAGTTGCCTTGTGGTGGACAGGTGGTCTTTCTGTGTTTATCCCGAGACGAAACAGAGCAATTCGACGTCCGCTTACTGAAGTCCAAAGGGAACGTCAAGGCGGAGATGCAAAGTAACAATCATTGCGGCGCCATTGCTGGAGCAGGCGTGGAAGACGAAGAGGAAAACTTACTAACATCTCATCGCTACGTATCAGCGCGACACGTACGCAAATCAGTGACAAGGCAGAAGTGAGCAGACGAAAAGACGAAAGAAGTTGGAGCAATTATACATCTGTAAGCATATGTGAGTCTAGACTGTGTCCAGAGCGGGAGTAATGGAAACTCCAGGCTGCCCCATTTCATACCTCCAGCTAAGCCCGACGACCGCAACTCACCAGAAGCGCTACCCCGGGGCGTCCCAGACACCCTAAATCCGCAGGCGGGCGAGTGCATCCCTGCAAATGGCAGGAACCGCAAAGCCGCTGCCTGCACCGCAAACGTAATCCGACCTGCTGGGCGCCGGGCGGACTGTCCTCCACATGGCCTCTCAGCGCTTGGTGTCTCAACCCCCGTCCCCGTTCAGGCGTCGCCTGCATGAACACCTCCAGAACCCCAAATCTTCAACACATCCGCTCTACCCACGTCCGAGTCGTGTTTCGCAGTCCAGATTGAAAGCAAGACCGCATCGTCGAGTGTTGGAGTCGTACAATTGGCATCGAAGCCGCTTTCTTTGTTTCCTTCCTTTCCCGTTAGACTATATACCGAGGGCACAGGCACACAGCGGCAAACATGTCCAGCCTGAACCAGCTCTACCTCCTCGCCGACCACATCAAGCTCTCCCTCCTCGAGCGCCAGCGCGCCCAGTCGCTCAACCTCGACGCCGACACGCAGGACGGTCATATTTCACGCTCGCTGGACCAGTTCCGCGATGGCCTGGAGTTTCTAGATTCAGAGGTCCAGCGCCTCCAAGGCGCCGGCGATGAGAGGTAACCCTTCCCGTCTTCTCCGACATAGAGACCCCCATATCTCCAAAACGTCAAGCGACGTCATGTTCCGGACCTTCTCCACCGACATCACCATCAGCAAAAAAGAAAAATGCGCTGACCAGAGATGTGATCCAATGCAGCGCCGCTCAGAACATCACCGACTCCCTCCCCGCCCTGCAAAAGCAGTTCTCGGACCTCACATCCCAATTCCACGGCTTCTCGAACCCGTCCACCTCGTCCACTACCACGTCTCCGAACGACCCGTCTCTCTCTCCCGATTTCGCCGCCGCGCAGTCCACGAAACCGCTCAAGGGCTCCCTTCGCGGCCTCCCCGCCGGCGGCTCCGCGAACAAAACGGTACGCTTCACCGACTCGCCCGCCGCCGCGGAGGACCCCAATGCGGCCGCCCTGTTCGGCGAGGGCCGCTACCGCGACGACCCGACGGACTCGGCGGGGTACCGCGACCAGGCCGAGGGCATGGACAACCAGCAGATCCACGAGTACCACTCGCAAATTATGCGCGATCAGGACGATCACCTCGACCGGCTGGGCGAGTCTATCGGGCGCCAGCGGGAGCTGAGCATGCAGATCGGCGACGAGCTGGATTCGCACGTCGCGATGCTGGACGAGGTCGACGGCGTCGTGGACCGGCACCAGGGACGGCTGGACCGCGCGAGGCGGCAGCTGGGCAAGGTCGCAAGGGACGCGGGGGAGAGCAAGCAGATGATTGCTATCATTGTGCTCATCATTATCTTGGTTCTGTTGATTGCTATCTTGAAATGAGCTTGGGGGCCCTTGTGGAAAAGGTCTGGCGGTTCGTTGAGTTGAGGGCCAGGCATTACGTTCTGGCCATCATTGGTTTTCTTGTCTTTGATTCCAAGGCGCATAGCATGGTTTGGCGTTTGGGGAGTCTTACAACTTTGTAGAATCTTTCGTTACTCGGGATGACACCCAACGGCATACAACTCTTGATCATGGGTTCTTCAGCTCTCGCATTACATAAGACGGTGGGCGCCCTCTTACTTGGCTACTCAAAAAAGGCGAACGACGGTCGATAGGGGACATGCTGTGGTGCTGCCGTCATGGCGGCACGATATTTGTCGACCGTTCAACTCAGCAACCTCTTTGAACCAACGCATGTTTTCGACTTGCTTGGAATGGGATGAAGGCTTCGGCGTCAACTTGGGCGGTGCAAATGTTGAGAACATAGGCTACGATGCGGCTCTCGGATTTCCAACAAGCGGGGTTGTTTCGTTAGTTCCAACGGTCTATTAGTCTAGTTGGTTAGGACGTCGGATTCTGATTCAGACCCAGATTCTTCCGTAGGCCCAGGTTCGAATCCTGGATGGACCTAACCTTTTGCCTTTTGCGTCAATTCACACCACAAACTCGTCAGTTTTTCCTGTTGTTATCACATGGCTCGCTGTTTTTATACTTCATCCGGGTCGGCGCTCAGATTTGACAAGGTTGCAAGAAGATGCTAATCTTAGGTGGCAGTGCTACCCACCCAGCCCCTACGCCAGTACCTCACAAAAGAACCCTACTCATCTTTGTCAGATCCAAAGGAACTGCTTGTCGTTGTTTTTCCATTTCAACTTCGTCTGTGTCAACTGGTTAAAGCAATGCCGACGACGTCTTCTAAGAAAACGAAATCTTGTGTTCCCGCAATATCGGGTGATTTGTCACAATCATGTCATGAGTCTCATCCCTCCACCGATCACGCGGTTTTGAAAGTGAGAGCACAAAGCTCACCACGAACAGAAAAAAATATCAAGAGTCAAAACTTTGTCCGAAAACATGACTGCTCTTGAGTCCTTTCATGATGACACAGCCACATCTTGCAATGGGTTGTGTGTCGTGGTCAGGATTTAGTTGGCCTTATTAGTCGGCCAGCCTGTCTTCAGGCCAGGCAGCACACATCTGACATTGGATACCCATGAAGTAGAAAAACCACTTCAAATACAACAATCCAATCTACTATATAATCTTACAAGAGGTGCATCAGTACTCTACCATAGAAACACACACATACACACACCATGCGCGTTTTCAGAAACCCCACATCGGGCCTCGACGCAATCCTCAACCGTCCCCCCGAAACATCCTGGGACCGCCTCGTCGCCTCCCCCATCACCACCATCGCACGCTACCTCTCCACCTTCTTCCCCGTCTCCTTCCCGATCGTGCCGCGCGAAGACGACGCGGTGACGGTGGTCTGCATCTCGGACACGCACAACACGCGGCCGCGCCTGCCGCCGGGCGACATCCTCGTCCACGCGGGCGACCTCACCGACTCGGGGACGCGGGCCGAGCTAAAGGAGACGGTGGACTGGATCAAGGCGCAGGAGCATCGGTTCAAGGTTGTGGTGGCGGGGAACCATGACCTCTGTCTCGACGAGAGGTTGCGGGAAGGAGAAGAGGAGGGAGAGGTGGACTGGGGGGATGTGGTGTACCTCGACTGCTCGTCCGCCACGCTCAAAGTGCCGGTAGGCGGCGACGGGGGCAAGACGAGAGAGATCAGAGTGTACGGCAGCCCGTAGGGAACTGGGCGTTCCAGTATCCCCGGTCCGGGCCGCTGGATCCATGGGCGGGGAGGGTTCCTGCGGGGACGGATGTGCTGGTCACGCATGCGCCGCCGAAGGGGCACATGGACGATCCGCGGGGGAACTGGGGGTGCGAGATGCTGTTGAGAGAGTTGTGGAGGGTGAGGCCCAGGTTGCATGTCTTTGGGCACGTTCATTGCGGGCATGGGGTTGAGGCCGTTGGGTTTGACGAGGTTCAGGGGGCGTGGGAGGATGTTGTTTTGGACGTGTCGAAGGGGGGAAGGGGATTCATGGCGTTTGCGAGGATGGTGAGGGCGTGTATTGGCGTTTGGTGGAGGGGCGGTAGGAGGGGGAGAGGGGTGACGGTGCTTGTTAATGCGGCTGTTGTGGGTGGGCTTGGGGATAGGTTGGTTCGGGAGGCTGCTGTTGTGAGGATATAGAGTCGACGTTATTTGAGATGGAGCCATTTGATAGACAAAAAGGCAACTGGGATCAATGGTTTTGCGCAGTATTCGAGTCGTATCTGCAAGTCAGGGGCCAAATCGACCGCTGATGGGCAACTTGCATCACAAGGAAGGGTGAGTTTACAATCCTAGAAATACTATCAAGACTCTTTCATCTTCTGCGTACACAAAGTAACAACAAATGCAATACCGGTGAAGCCGCTATCGCTGTTCTAGAAAAGACCCGTTCATATGGATTCAGCATAGGATCGGCAGGCGTGCGCCCTTTTCTATATGTCAAACCCAAAGGCAAACTCTGTGGCTCTCTCTGGCATCTCCGTCGTTCCTCATGTGTTGCGTTGCTTCACACGTAACATATCTCACAAGGCTGCAAGCAAGGGCCCCTGCATAAGCGCTGTCAATACACCATGATCATATTGAACATATATCCATCTGCTCTCAAGCTTTAAGAACTCTTCGCAAAGTAAAGCACATTTATGCAGTTGAGATCAATGAATAGCATCGCAGATTTATAGCTGTTCCGAGATTTTCAGGCCAAGTTTTGACAAATGTAAGTCTTTCTAGCCCCTGTGCTAAGCTATAGAGACAGCAGACGCGAATTAATGAGACGATATCAAGCTCTCAAACACAGCTTTCTTCGGCAGTGAAACGCTCCAATAGCGGATCTAGAAGTCAGATGACTACAGGAAAGCATAGTTTGCTCCCTTTCGATATGAACGGTGGGCATGTACACCGTTCAAATACGTAGACAATTCCGACAGTGGCAGAGGATGGTTTCATATAATACGATAAACAGCTCTTGTGGATTGTGGATGCATACACCGATGATTCGTCCATGTTTGAGATCTTTTCCTGGATACAAAGACTGGCTCAAGCAAGGAAATTGCTTTCCGGTGTTGGTATTGTCTGGTTCGTCCATTTCAAATGACACAAATAGAACTGTCAAGAACCTTCCAGCTTGGTAGTTCAGAGACACAAATTGACCTCGTCAAGAACGAATCGGGCTTGTTGGATCATAATAAAAAAGACAACTTCAAGCAAAGCCGGTTGTAATCGACCACAAATGAGCTCCTGGTCAATCCATGAATGCTATATTCACTAGCAGAATCGCGTCTCCAATGTTAGTACTGCGCTGCATGTTGTGATGCTGAACCCAGACGGCAGGCTTGGTTTCAGTGGGCTCTCTTGTCCTCGGTTCCATCCATAGAATACTCCACAAACAGTAGCGGGAACGCTGGCTTATCTAACTGAGAGAAGTCTCAACGTTGCGAATGGGGCATGTTGCCGTCGGCGATTATGAAGCTGGCAGAGTGTAGCAAGCCGTGGAGACACATGCGATTGTCCCCTTGAGCTCTAATGACAAATCCTGGCAAGATATAGTCTCTCGAAAAGGAGTTGACTCCAGACATCAGACAACAGCAGTCGAGGTTTAGAGAAGCAATGACAGACCGCATATCTGGATCATCTGCTCTCATTCCGGGAAGAACATGCAGAGACCAGCGGACAAGTCTTTTTGTGATATCGATCGCTCACGATAACGGGCCAATTAGATCGAGCAGAGTACACGGAATTGCATGGAGATGTCAAGACAACACAACATCGGTCGCTCGATTTAAGAAAATGAGACTAGGAAGTCTCACACTGACTTTCAGTCATATCAAACTTGTGATCTCCATGGAGTTCTCTTCAAGTTCGACGCACCAGCACAACTAAGAGCACTCTATCCCTCACTATCTAAACACAGATTCGAAATCATCAGCTTACTTCGCCGCAGCTATATTCGGGCATGAATGACCCAACAGAGAAGATGAGATTCAAATCTTATCCCTATGCAGGTCGTGGGTAGACGAATAGCGCGTGACGATCATAGTAATACCGCTCTCAGTTGTCGACCGAGGCTCACACCAGAAAGCCGCAACTGCCAGCCCTAATCATGCTGTGCTCGCAAAATGCGATTTCAGGACTTGACGGCATATATATCACGGTAACCAAGGGCGTCGCTGTCTTTCGAAATACTGGTGAGTCTGACCAAGGTCTCGGAAACGATATGACAGCGCTCTAGATCCTGTCTTCGAAAGCCCATCTTAAGCTCTAATCCGTGGACCTCTCCAGATAGATTTGCTTCAATCCTGCGCTGGCGAGAAGTAACTGAAGATGTTCAAAGAGAATCAGAATCATTTCCGAAGTCGAGGAGCAGCCCCTACATCCACTGTATCAGGGACAGTTACGGCGGTTAGAAGAGGGACGTCGCTGCAGCGGCTGTTGCTTGTCATCATAGCTCTCGGAGTATTGTGTAGAATCAGCATCAGACAGAGAAGATCTTGGAGTAAAACATAATCTGACATCATAAATAGCAACGAGAAAAAGGTATCACCTCGTTCAGGCGCGGCCAGGTTTCAACCCCATATAGAGGTCACAGACACATCCGGATTCCGTCCAGACTTTTGAGACTGAAAGTGAGATTATCATTCGAACAATCTCGCGCCGCTGTATCCTTTAATAGAACAACACTGAATCTCTCTTGATGTCTTTATAAGCTACATCCATGCCCAGTATAGAGTTTCCTCAGCAAAATGGATACCTCCTCTTAGTTGCTACTTTTCAATGCAGAGCAGGCATCTTCCATCGAACGAGAAGTAAAGCAACAAAACCACAATGGCCCAAAGACAACAAGACCTCGGCCTCTGTCGACGCTATTCATCCTTGTCCAAGTATTCGCGTAGAGATACCAAATCATACAGTAAAAGGCGTGGTCGCATGGGCATAATATAGCCCCTTAGATGAAGAGGGATGGATGGCGATATAGCCTGTCCTCATGACATGTCTTTCGTGGCAATCTGCCTACCTAACAGCGCAGACTTGAATTGCCTTGCTCATCTTCATCGTCTCCCGATGTCACTTAAATATCTATACTCGCCACCAAAACTCCCGAACATGCTCGTCCGAAAGACGCACTCGCCAACCGATGTGGGGGGTACTTAAGCAGTGCCATGCTCAAGGTTCTAGACCATCAACCAAAACAATCGGTGTGCCAGGCTGCCGTGGTTCGCTATGTGAAAGACGACAACTCTGCTAAGGTAAAGGGTAGACGAGCCTGATGCTGACCTCTGCATAGATAGCGGGTCTTCGTCGCTGGCCTTGATCATCCTCGCTCGGCTATTCGCCCAGGTATCCAACGATACCTGAGGCAAGGGTTTGAAATTCTTCAGAGATTGGACTTACTACTTTGGTCTTGTGAAGAGGTCAGATTGCGTGGCCTTGCTGACCGAGAAGAATGGGTGACGTCTCAGACGTAGGATTTGCTGCAAAGACCATCATGAGTAGATTCCGATATGTATAGTCTTCGCCGTAGTTGCATCACGTCTCACCTCCGCATCAAAAACACCACCAGCATGCCACCCAAGGTATTTAGCTCAAGCCTGCACTCATCTTTTAATAACTGGCTCCAGAATCTGTTTCATTCATCATCATCTGTCCGGTTTCGGGTTATCGTACAACACTCTTGAACCCATCAACACTCATCATCCGCCCCCAAAGCCCCGACACTAATCATCTTCAAATTCGGCCCCAACCCAACAAACAAGCTCTTGTGCCGCTTCCCCGGCATAGCCGTAAACCTCAAACTCTTAATCGGCGTCCGGCCCTTGATCCCGTCCACAGCAGGACACCGCAGCCTCCGCCCCGACAGCAGCGAATACATCCCCACGGCCCCGTCATCGTGCGCCGCCGCCACGACCCCGGCGTCCGCGTCGACGGCCCAGCCGATGTGCATGTGCGCGTCGTTCTTGTACCCCTCGAACTCGACCACCGGCCGCACGCCGTTCGGGAGCAGGCGGCGGTAGCGTATGTCGAACACGGCCATCAGCGACCGCGGCCCCGCCGCGACGAACTGGTGCGGGTTCACGGCCTCCAGGTGCGCGACGGGCCCGATGGGGAGGAGCTCCCAAGCGTCCCACATCGTGCGCATGTCCATCAGCTTTATGGTGGGGTTGCGGCCGCCCGCGAATAGGACGTTGGGGTTGTCCGGGAGGAAGGACGAGGTGAAGAAGTCGCCCTCTGGGGGACCGGGGCGGGGCCGGGGCGGGCCGAGCCATCTGACGCGCTCGTCGCCCATGAGTCTGAGCAGGCCGAAGCTGGTGCCGATGACGCAGACCAGATTGGACGAGGAAGGCGGTCCTATGGTTGTTGAGTTTACGACACCCTCGTGGCGGCCGCTGCGGTAGGAGATGTGACGGAGGTTGTTAGCTGTAGGTGCGTCAGTGAATGGGATCTGTGAACGGCACATAGGGGGCAAGTTACCCCTGTCAAGCAACCACTGCGGCCGGTGGTCGTTTGGGGCAGACCGTGGCGGCGAAAAGAGGTAGAGGTTCGTATTATTGCTCGGTTCCCGTGATGTTATGATCATACGGTGTGAGTTAGGGTGATAGTTGATGGATGAGATCTGAGGGCAGCCAATCATCTCATGGCGATGCGACAGCCGATGCTCCGGACGACTGGAAGCATCTGTACTGAAAGATATCCTGCGAATGTCAGCATCTCGACACCGTAGATCACCAGACCAACATACTCGTCGTTCTCGTTCGTGGGTATATACGACCCGATCACAGTCTCTTCGTCAACAGCTGCAAAACTTTAGCATACGCACACCAACCCAAGACCTCATGAGGGCCAACTCACTCGCATACGCAACCCCGAGCCCCGTCTTGTCGTCGTGCCCACTGACCCAAAAGCACGGGATGTTGGGAAACCTCCCCGTCGCGAAGCTGGGCACAAACGGCACATCCCCCTTGTCCGTCAACCCCCTCGCCCACGCAGCGGCAGGGACATCATTCACCCCAAAGCTGCTGCCGCCGCCGCCACCGCTCCGGATCTTTCTCTCTCTCTTCACGACGCCGAGCTCGGCCTCGAGGAATCCGCCGAGGAGCGGGTCCCGGAGCACGGCGGACCGGACAATGTGCCGCTTAAGCCTCTCCTGGCGCGCCGCGACGGCCTCGGCCTCGCGATGCTTGACCTTGCGCCGCTTGACGCTCTCTGCGGACCACGCGGCGTTCTGCGGCGCCGACTGCGTCTTTTCGATCTTGAAGTACTTTCCCTTCTCCTCGTCTATGAAGTCTTGTGTCAGCCGGTTTGTTTCTTGTTTGTCCATGTAAGTCACCCCGGGGGTATTGGGCGGGGTGGGTGTGCGGGTAGCCCACCGTAGTAGAATCCAGGGATTTGCATCCGTTGTTGGGGTGCCATGGCGTCGGTGTTCGGCGCCGTAATCAGCGTCGCGCTCTCTCCGGCTCCGAGGCTTGGTGAGATTCAGAATCGTAGCACTGGGACGTCGGTCCCGAGGTGAAAGGTCGGTGAGTAAGTGCCTGTCCCAGGATGAGTGGCACAGGGTATGACTTGAGTCCTAGTTATTGGGAGGCGGAGGAGGGTGTGCTTCCCCAATAGGTAAGAACACCAAGAAGAAAGAAAGAAAAATCCAACTAGCTTCCTTTGATCCAAACAGGGTGGCGCACAGTTTGTCAAGCTAAGTAAAAAATACTGTGAGCCAATCTGGTGATGTGAGTGTGTGAGTGTGTTGCCCGCCTGTGCAAGAGGGTGTGTACCACCAAAGCAGATTCCAGCAGATCGTCACTTGCACGTGTGGTTTGGGGGTTTTCCATGCATGGGCCTTGCGGCACGATGTCGTCGACGAGCTGACAGAGGGTAGAGCACCCCCGGGAGAAGATGGCGTCGGTGGCGCCGAGCTGGCAGGGTGGTACGGCAACGGGGTTTCGATGAAGTTGGATGAGCGGCAGGAATGGCCGGGGGAGGACACCACCAGCAGAGGTGGAAGAAAAAAAGAAGGGAAGGGAAAAGTGGGGATAGTGGTGGCAGTCTTCGGCACCGGCGCCGGCCTACAACTCCAACCTGGAACACAGCACTCGGAGACGCCCTGAAGAGGGTGTGGTACACTGCATTGAAGCGCTGTAAGCCCGGCGCGGGCGAGCTAGAAGCCGCCTTGCTCTAAACCTCCGCTGGTGTGACAGCCCCAAATGCTGTGCGTGTGGAGGCGGAATGCAGCCCGCGCAGCACCAGGACTGCGAACCGCGGCGGCCATCGCTCCCTGGGGAAATAGCGAGACTAACACTTAGCTCAATACACACCACCATCGATCACCAAACCAATACTATACACCCAGCTGCGCGGCATCTCCTCGGTCTCGCTGGAATAATCGGTCGCTCTTCCACTAGAACAAGTTTCTTACCCCGGTCAGCCTCAAAGTCCACTTGGAGAAGCTTCCCCAACCTCCGCTTGTTCGAACAAGCAGCCATCAACATCAACGGCCAAAATCGGGCAAGGCCCGCTAGGGAAGGCTTGATCTTTCTCCCACACACACCCGACGCCCCGTTGTCTTGAAGTTCTGGCCAAAGGACTAGGCGGCTCCGAGGCGCGGCGTTACTGATGATCTTGGTAATTCTGATTAGCTCATCTAGAACCATGCCAAAGTCTGACAACGGCTTTCGACGGTCAACGACGACGGCTTCCCGCGCCGTGGAACGAGGCTCTCGGCGATCTGGTGAGTGACCAACCTCCCGGGACAAACGTCTAGCATAGCATCTCAGTGGAATCAAACGGTCGACTTTGCGGCTTGAACTTGCGAATGAGATATAGAAGAAAATGGCCAGAGGATCAAGAGGCGCCAGCCAAATGTCTTTCCCAACCTCCAGGGCGTTCGTCGTGACCTTCGCAACCATTCAGCCTCCTCACATCCGTAACACCAAATTGAAACCATCGCCAAGCCAGTCATTCCTAACAGTTACACACAACCAGCCCCAAGTACCATAGTGAGAAAAAAGAAACCACACAATGTTCAAGACACCTACCCGTGAAGCCAAGCTTGACCAACACCACCTCGCCCCTAAGAGACGTTCCACGCGTTCCACGAGAAAAAACGGGTAGAAACCCCCATCCACACCGATCCAAACTCAAACCCCTCCTCCCCACCCCGCCGCCCCTCCACCTCTGAGGCGCCTCTGCTGAGTGCTTGCTTGCTTGCCCCTCCACCCCTCCGCCAGACTTCCCGCCAAGGCCAGTGACAGCTATCCAAGCTCCCTTTTCCCCTTTCCTTTCCACCTCACCAAGCTACCTGCCCAAAACCTCTTCCTCACCACACCTATCCAACCTCTCCTCAACCACCCGAAAACCGCCAAAATGGTCTACACAATCACCGTCCACCTCCACGCCAACGACCACCCCGACTCCGTCGACCGCCTCAAGGCCAAGCTCGTCGAGGCCTCCCGCGTCTACTCCAAGGACAGGGAGACCGTCAGCTGGTTCGTCATGCAAGACGTCCACGACCCCAGGTCCTTCACTATCGTCGAGCGATTCGAGACCGAGGCTGTAAGTCAAAGCCACCTCTCTCTTCCCCTTCCTCCCCAAATACACGCCCACTGGGCTGTCAATGATCAGCCTGACTGACTTGTCTCCTCCGACCACAGAGCCAAAAGTACCACCTCGAGAACCCCTACTGGAAGACCTTCGACCCATACGTCGTCCCCCTGCTTGACCGGCCCATGGACTTGAGAAGACACGAGGAGCTAGATACTTCTAAGGACGTTGTCGTTCCTCAATAGAACATGCACATGACTAGAATGACAAGAGAATAAAACAATTGAATACACATGGAATACCCGGACCTTAAGACGTTGATGTTCGATGGGATACAAATTGACTTAAAAATGTACCTTGTCTCAATCCACTGAACAAGACATGTCATCGAATAAGACGTGTGGACGATATCGAAATTCTTCCAACCAGCCAACACATGATGTCACTTGAGGGCAAAGAGAGTTATCATAAATTTTACGAATTTGTATTAGGTCTATGCGCACTACTAGGGTATTCTCCCCCTCCACTCGAATCACAGTAATTACCGATGAGGTCGACATCAAGCTGTTTTAAACAAAGAGAAGGCGATGTCACTCCTCCTCCGGTTGATTAAGGCCAAATGTCTATGCGGCCCAAGAAAGAGCACCCAGAGCCGATGAAGTACGACTCTGAAGAGACATCCTTCTTTACTGCGACTTCTCGTGCTGGGTAGAGACACGCTGCAGGGAAACGACTGGTGAAACAGTTAGCTAGGGTTCTGTAACATGACACCTTTTGTGGGGTGGGATATATAAACTTACCAAAGTCCTCGAGCGAACGCTGCTTCTGGCTGCCCTTGGGGGACTTGCCATGCATGAGGTTGTCGAAGCCCTTGCTGTCCTCGAGCATGTAGTAAACTCCGGCGCAGACGCAGAAGACACCGAAGGAGAAGATCCAGATACGGACAACGGCGACAATAGAGGTCTGCTCGCCGCCCTGGAACCAACCGAAGATACAGAAGAGGGTGGCGAGGATGTCGACAACCAGGATGGCACCAGACAGCTGCCACGAGGGGATGGAGGACCAGAAGGGGCCGTTGGCACGGGTGACGAAGATCAGCCAGTTCTCAGTAAGGGAGATCTCAAGGAAGAGAACCTCATCCATGTTACCGAAGTTCTGGACGATACCGCCGTCGGGGCCGTGAGCGTACATGGTGGTGACAGTAATCCAGGTACCGACAGCGAGGACGACACCGAGGAGAACAGACATACCCCAGAGCTTGGGCAGGTTCCACTTGACGGGGGTCTTGGAGAAGGGGGCGTTGTCGTAGGCGATGGCAAGGGTGGCGATATCGGCGAAAATGGCAATGAACACGACAAGCTCGATGTTCAGGGAACGGTTGAGAATGGCGATCCAAAGACCAAGGTAGATCTCCAAGTGGATGGACAGGGCGATACGGTAGACGACGTAGGCGTACATGCGGTGGAAAATCTGGCGAGACGTCTTGAGGGCGTCGATGATGGCACCAAGACCGGGAGCAAGGAAGACGATGTCGGCAGCGGAGCGAGCGGCGTCAGAGGCACCCTCGACGGCAATACCAGTATCGGCCTTCTTCAGGGAAGGAGCGTCGTTGACACCGTCACCAGTCATGGCAACGAGGTAGCCACGCTGCTGAAGGATCTCGACAACGTTGTACTTGTGCTGGGGGAAGACCTCAGCGAAACCATCGGCAGCCTCGACGAAGTCGTAAACCTCAGAACCGGGCATGTCACCGCCACCACCGAGACCAAGGCGCTCAGCGTTGTAGATGTTGGTGCCGAGACCAAGCTGGCGAGAAGTCTCACGAGCGATACCGACGGCGTCACCAGTAAGCATCTTGATGGACAGACCGAGAACCTTGGCCTCGTTGACAGTGCGGGCGGTATCGTGGCGAGGGGGGTCAGAGCAGGGCATGATGCCGAGGATCTCCCAGGCACCGTGCTCACCACGCTTGCGGGCAACACCAAGGGAACGGAAACCACGGGTAGCGAACTCGGCAACCTTGTTCTTGTAGGCCTGGTCGATCTCCTCGGGGATCTCGTGGTCCTGCTCGACGGTCTTGAGGACGAAGAGGGGAGCACCCTTGACGCAGGTAATCTGCTCACCGGCGGGGGACTGGACGATGGCGGTAACCTTCTTGGAGACGGGGTCGAAGGGGAAGAACTCAAGAACCTGGTACTTGGACAGGACAGACTTGGCGCGGGGGTAGTAGCGCAGCGACTTCAAGAAAGCCTTGTCGATGGCGTCCATACCCTTCTTCTTGCGGGAAGCAGCCAAGCAGGCAGTGAGCATGAGGTCCTCGGGGTCGACACCGGCGACGGTGTAGGGCTCGGCAAGAGAGAGCTTGTTCTTGGTCAGGGTACCGGTCTTGTCAGAGCAGAGAATCTCGACACCAGCAAGGGACTCGATAGCGGAAAGCTTCTGGACAATGGCCTTCTTTTTGGCGAGGTAGGCAGCACCGACAGCCATGGTGGTGGTGACGACGGCAGGAAGACCGACGGGGACACCGATAATGGTAATGGCGAGGGTGAAGCGAAGGATGTCGACAATGCCGTTGGAGCGGTAGAAGGAGGAAACCCAGACGATGAGGAGAGTGAAGACGACAAGGACCAGCAGAATGGTACCAATGCCGTTCAGGACCTCAGTGAAATGACCAGTGCCGGAGTTGGCAGCGTTGACGAGGGCGGCAGCGCGACCGACGAAGGTGTTGTCACCAGTGGCGGTAACGATGATGAAAGCCTCACCACGCTTGATAGCGGAGGAAGCGTAGCAAGAGTCGTTCTGGTGCTTGTCGACAGCCAGAGACTCACCAGTGATGGCGGACTGGTCGACCTGGAGAAAAGCATCCTCGGTCACGATCT